TTATAAGATAATGCTTTGTATATCTATCTAAATAGTTGTACTTCCAAAATTTGAAGATCAAATAGAACTCGAGAAAATTTGGAAATTAGAAAACTGTGTAAATCCAACTAGTAAAAATAACACATATTATATGATAAAAGAAAAAAATACAGACCAAAATATAAATTATATTTGTTATGTAAAACTTAGAAATCATAAGGTTCTCATTCAATTCTCTGTAACTTTAAAATATACATCACATTATTAATACTCATTTAGTCAACGTTTCTATACGCAACAAAGTTGATGTCATTTTGCATGTGAATAATTGAATAGATGATAAATTGCAGGTTGAAAGTCTCGTATATACATAATAATACATACGAAATTTTAAATTGAAGATGTAATAAATATGGATAGAGTTTTGATGTGTTTTTGCTATTATTGATTATATAAAAATGATGTGACATATAAAATTTATTAAAATTGGCTTCTAAAAAAATATTGATGTAAGTTAAAATATAAGTTTTTCCATCTTCTATATTGTTTTTACGTTAAATAAATTTAAACATTGATAACTTATTAGAAAAAGTGTCAATTCTGTTTATATACTTGAATCTTTAAATATGTATATCTAAATTATAAAAAACAATTAATAGATTAGTAATTAGTAATAATACTGTATTTGTATTATTAATATATATCAAACGTAATAGATTTTATTGTGATTAAATTATTAATAAATTTCCAATTATCTCACAATTATATTATAGTAAATATTAACTACTACTGTATTTATTGTATACTAAATTTTGGAAAAAAACTAAACTAATAAATTTTTTTAATTAACTAATTAGATCTAATTTATTAATTAAATTAACTGTATAGTTAACGTATATCAAATTTAATAGATTGATTTTAATAGCAAAAAAAAGAATTAATTGATGGATTTTTATTAATATATGAGTTTATTCCAAAAACGTTATGGTAACAATAAGATTTGTTTTATTAATAAAATTGCAATACATAAAATCGACAATAGAATTTTATAATTAATTTTTATATTGTTTAAACAATGTAATTGTATAAATAGGTCAATTCGTAAAAAAAAATTAAATACTAAATATAAATAGTAATTATATAAAAATACTAAATATACATAGTAATTATATTAAATATACATAGAAATTATATAAAAGTCAAAATATAAGGAATTGTAGGATTTTTGATCTTTTAAGTTTAATATTGTTAGTAAGTTATCTATAATTATATATAACTGAGTCAATCTTTATAAACTATTAACTTTTTGATCCAGTATAAATATTTTTAATAACAAAAAGTTTGATTAAATTATAATATAATAAATTAAGAAAAACTTTTTAACTTTTTAACCAAGTTATAATGTTTGTATAAATTAAAATTTTATAATATTTTACTTTCTTAACAAACCTAAAATATTGATAATGTTATATTCTTTCAATATATTTAACTATTTCTTATATTTTGACTTTTTGATCTAATATTTTATACTTTTTATCTAATTTAAATATTTTATATTATTTTATTAATATGTGGTTCTATGAAAACCATATTAAACCAAAAATACATCAAAGTGAATGTTATTTAAATCAAGCTTCCTACTTTAACAAATTTTGTTTTCACATTAATGTTTTTATATAATGATTGATGAACCATTTATTAATCTACATATCTTAATACCTAATGTAAAACTTTTAAACCTACTTTTATTTATTAAATTTGAGTTATTTATATTTATTTTTTTAAACAAATCTATATATTGTTTATTATATAAATGATGTGGTAATTTATTTACTTTACAAAAATAATTTTAAATAAAAATAAGAGAAATATACATTATGGTAGAAAATATAATTAAATAAATAATTAATATGATATACTTTAGTAAGAAACAAAAAGAAATAGAATATCTTAATAAATTAAATTCTGTTTATGTATAAATAATTAATATAAACTATTGTTAAACTACATTAATATGAATGGCAGAATATGTTATTAATCTAGTAATATAAGTACATTTTTATATATTTTCTAAGAATGATTATGGGACAGACACATGAGCAAAAATGTCAGCATTAAAAATAACTTACAAAATTAAGGTTATTTTATAAAAATCCTTCTCAATTAATATATAGGAGATCTTTAATCTATATTTTGACTAAATTAACTTTGTTCAGTTAAAAGAAAAATATAAAATATATTATTAAACATTATTTTAAATACAATATAAATATGAAAAAATCCTAAATAGCATAATAAAAAAGTTTTGATCTCAACTTTTTAACAAAAAATATATTTTCTATATTCTATGAATTTTAGAATATGTCTTTTAAACTTTATATATGTTCTACAAAATTTTGAATAAATATTCTATAAAGTTTAGAATACATATTATCTATTTATTACATGTTTTATGAAGTTTAGAATTTGTATTCTATATTTTGTACATGTTCTATGAAAATTAAAATACATATTCTTAGAAATTTAGAAAATTTTTTATTATAAATGGAAAATGATAATTTCATAAATGAAAATAAAAATCTCTACTATATTAGATGATACTTTATGTCCTTTTTCATATTTCTTTTTCTATATTATTATTTATTTAGTTTTTCTGTTTCAACTCAATCTTTTATATATATATATATAAACTAATGCTTAAATCAATCATCGATTCGAATAAATGTATTAGATTGAATTGATAGAAATTGGGTTTTGAAAAATTAGTAGAATTTCAATCCTAATAGACTAAGCATATCAGACATCAAGGACAGATTGACAGAGGTTGAAATGTAAAACTGACAACTGAAAAAGAATAAATACAAGAAGAAGAAATAAGACAAAAAAACATATAAAACGATGTTAAAGTATGTTGGAATGAAGAGAACAAAAATAAAAAGAAGTTATTATTAATATGTATATTAATTGAAATTTATGTTTTAATTATTAGGGATAAATTAGGATTAGCATTAATTGAAGGTATATTTTTCAAGGTTTAAATTTAAAAGTATATTATTTTACGAAAAAATCTCCAAAATGTTCAAGAATAAATAAATCATGTAAAATGAGTACTCAACTGAAAACAATTTGTAAAAATGACCATTTTTAATAATTTTTATAAATATCAGTGCTGCTATTCTAACTACTTTACTTGTAGGCTAATGACAAAGTAATGACAGACTAAATACTGATTATTGACAGATTGATTGGCTATACAATTATATATAAATTAATAGCAGACTAAATACAGACTATTAGTAAATTAACGGCAGATTAAAAGTACGCTAATTAACCTCTTTTATAGGTTATTTTAGAAAATGTCATGTTTTGTAATGAAATTGTCAAATATGTTATTTCAAAAATTATCCCTATTTTTACAAGATCATAGTAAAATATTCTTTTTCTTTCAGTTTTCTCAAAAAATGTCAATTGATAGCTGACAAAAAACGTTAATTGATAAATATAATAACATATAAATCTATTGGAATTGTTAAACCAAGAACCAAAAGTCTTTATGGAATTAATTAGAATTCATTCATATTTTGAATGCTAATCCTAATTTATCCCTAATAATGAAAGTAATAATCCTAAGTTTGATTAAATCCATTTAAAAGTTATAGAAATATTTTTACTGTCTACAGCCTGTAAAGCACTTGTCAATCAATTCCCATATTTGTAAAGCAAAAACGTAAATCTACAGTTGTTACCAATCATATTTATCTTTTTCCTTATTTATTTAGTTTTTCTTTTTTGGCTCAATCTTTTATATATATAAACTAATGCTTAATTTCAGTCAAAGTGTATTAGACTGAATTGATAGATATTGAGTCTTAAGGAATTAGTAAAATTTTCAATCCTAATAGACTAAGCATGCAAGACATCAATAACAGATCGACAGAGTTTGAAATGTAAAACTGACAATTAAAAAAGAACAATTACAAGAAGAATTAATAAGACAAAAAAATATAAATTAAAAATTTGTTAATTCACACAAAATTAAATTATTATTAATATCTATATTAATTGAATTTTTGGTTTTTAGTTATTAGGGATAAATTATGATTAACATTAATTTAAAGTATATTCTTCAAGGTTTAAATTTAAAAGTGTATTATTTTACGAGGAAATGCTCCAAAATATCATGGAATGAGTAAATAATGTAAAATAAGTATTCCATTGAAGAAAAATTGTAAAAATAATTATTTTTAATAATTTTTATAAATATCAGTGCTACTATTCTAACTACTTTACATGTAGATTAATGAGATATAAATGACAGACTAATACAGATTATATACAGATTGATTGGTTATATAATTAAATATAAACTAATGGCATATTAAATACAGACTATTGGCAGATTAACGACAGATTGAAAGTACTCTAATGAACTCTTCTTGTAGTTACTTTAGAAAGATCATGTTTTGTAATAAAATTATCAAATATGTCATTTCAACAATTATCCCTATATTTACAAGACCAATAAAATATTCCTTTTCTTTCAATTTTCTCAAAAAATGTTAATTGATAGCTGACAAAAAAACGTTAATTGATAAATATATTAACATATAAGTCTTTTGGAATTGTTGAACCAAAACAAAAAGTCTTTCCGGAATGAATTAATTAGAATTCATTGTATTACCCAAAAAAAAATGAAAGTAAATATTTTGACTGTCTAAAAAAAAAGTTTGATTACATCCATTCAAAAGTTATAGAAATATTTTTACTTTCTACAGCCTGTAAAGCACTTGCCAATCAATTCCATATTTGTAAAGCAAAAACGTATATAACAACGTATATCTACCTTTGTTACCAATCAGATTTTTCCCTCAAAACCAGTCTACTATTTCCTTCCCTCTCTCCCCTCTATCTCTCTCTCGTTGATGAAAATGCAAGTGAGAGGCCCAGTGATTTGGGTATTCCTGGTCTTTTACATCCTTGGTCATATATTTGTAATTCATAACAATCGCTTTGTGGAAGCCAAGAGCTCGTCTGAATTTGATGATCTTGAAATCGAAAAGAAACTAAGGTCAATCAACAAACCCGCTGTCAAAATCATCAAGGTTCATATAATATATCCATATAATCTTCTCGTAGTTATATATCTATTGATGAAAAATATATGTATTAATATATATATATATGTGGCTGCAAATGATAGACTATACATGGAGAACAGTATGGATGTGTGGATTTCTTTAAGCAACCAGCATTTGATCACCCTTCATTGAAAAATCACACATACCATTACAAGGTAAAATTTCGGTTCGCTTCTCTGTCTTTTAGTTCTTTGAAACATGAAACGAAAAAGACAGTAATATTTTGGGGGGTTTGGACACATATCGTAGATGCGTCCAGTATGGAATGGAATGAGAGAAAAAAAGAAAAACAATACTGCCAACAGGTTTGGTTACTTGTGGGAAAATGGTGTGGGTTGTCCCATTGGTACGGTCCCTATAAAAAGAGTCACCAAAGAGGAACTCTTGAGATTAAACTCCTTCGAAGATAATTATAAACCCCGTGGTTCTTGGAACACTACCGCTTATGATCCTAATAATGATGTTCATTCCGACCAACTTCATGTAAGTTGTTCTTTTTTAATGAAATAACTTAATTATGGATTGAAATTTTGATATAGTTATAAAATCAAAATTAGTATATAATTGGTTTTTGAATGAAAATGAAATGGATTAGTTTGCGGTGGCTCGGACACCGAACACAGGAATGAGTTTCAATGGAGCAACAATGGAACTTTGCATAACTGCTCCTAAGGTTCAGCCTACCCAATTCAGTCATTCTCGGCTTCACATTCAGATGGGAGATGATTTTATCCAAATGGGTGCTGCTGTAAGTCACTTAGTTTATTTACTTTTCCAGCTACAACTCACACATGATGCTGACTAAAATTATAGTATAAAGTATAACACTACAAGCCTCAGTTACTTAACGATTTAATAACTGACAAAATTTGTATTATGTTGTTTAAGTGTTTAGCTAATAATAATTAAATACACTTACAATTCAGGTTAATCCAATTTTGTACAAGGACAACCTACCTCGGAGTTTCGTTTATACAAAGGTAAGAATCAGTCGCATCATGCTAGTAAATCCTCTCTTAATAATTTATTAGAATATATGTAAATATGTAACGCGATATATTTCCATTCATATATCGATGAGACAGGCAGGTGCAAAATCATGTTATAATAGCCTATGCGACGTGGGAATGATAAGTGTTCGTCAAGATATTCCATTGGGTCTAGTACTGGAACCAATTTCTCATCGTGGTGCTAAGCGTAGTTACTATGCAACCTTTGGTCTAATCAAGGTAAAACATTAACGAAAACAAAATGTTTCACTGTACACTTGTAACGTTGTAGTCAATATGATTCTTAATTCAGTATGCATAGTTATTCTCTGTTTCTTAGTATAATGTTAAATTCTGCTTATCATTTCTGGAACCAGGACCAAGCAAATGGGAATTGGTGGTTCGAGTTTGATAGCGGCGCAGAAGAAATCGGATTTTGGCCGGCAAAATTTTTTGGCCAAAGCTCTGGAAACGAAGTCGAGTGGGGAGGAGAAGTGAACAGTGCATCACTACCAGGTCCTGAAATGGGATATGGGATTTTTCCGTATTTAGATATGCGTTTCGATGCATATATCAAACGTATTTCCATACTTGACGCTAATTTCAAATTTGATGACAAAGTGGATTATTTAGACTCGTTTTCTGACGACAATCGAGGCTATAAAGTGCTAGACGAGCTACATTCTGGATTCCCTGAGGCCGGCCATATAATCTTTTATGGTGGTCCGGGTCTAGACACATAACTAAATCTTTGTGATATGGAAATTGAAAAACATTATGTTCACTAAATTTTATAATAAATAAACCTTTTTATATATGGGCTTCTTTAAAACAAATGCTTTAAAATCAATTAAAGAGTTAAGTAGGGAGAATATACTAATGTTTAAGCAGAGTTCAACTTGGCACATGAACGCTGAGCAATGTTCAAAGACAATGATTCTCAACTTCTTCTTTTGCGCTCTTCCTACCCATCTCTAGCAAGTATCTTCTATCATTAATCATTTAGTTTTTTATTGGTCATTTCTTCCAATCTATCTAAATTAATCTGATTTAAACTGGATAGTGAATTTCGAATATCTAAATAATCTTCTTTTATATCCAGATGCAATTAATAACACTATATCTCATAATTTTAATAAACACAAGATCCATTTTTCTTGATAATATAAATTATATTCCTAAAATTTATAGATATGACTTGTTTTGTAAGTAGGTAAAATAACTTTTAAAAATAGATATTTACAATGATATTATCCTCTCTTTTTTTTTGTTCAATCAATGATATTATCCTATCTTTACAAGATCTAAAGTGATTTGGTGAAAGACTAAGAATGAATCTTGTTTTCGTATAATACTAAAAACATTTTTCTGTAGTTGACAAAAATAAATAATAATCCATTCATTATCTGTACTAATATATTTATTAGGTTTGTATATTAAAAGATCATTGCAGAAATAAATTTAAAATTTTGTTATAAAAATGGATGAAATAAAGAAAAATTCGAAAGCTCTAATCAATCAAATTTTCCCCTCAAAGAACTTGCCGAAAATGAAATATAGTATTTAATTCCCATTTTCGCTGTAAAAAAAGATTAAATCCCATATTCAAATACATATATCTCTATAACATCAATGCATTGTCAAAATAATTGTATATATTAAACACCTATTAAAACTCTTATTAGCAAATAAACGTCTCGATAATGACTTCCCTTGGCTTTATCCTCTGTCTCTCATCGGTTCTTCTCATGAGCCTTTGTCAGATTCCCACAGCTATTGATGATGAAAGAAAGGCAAGCCATTGCTGTTTTGTCTTGTATACATGATAACTATCTATGTTCTTCTTTCTATTTGATTCGGTATAACATTTTAACGCAGGTGTATATTGCTTACATGGGAGCTCTTCCTTCAAAACCTTCTTACTCACCGATGTCTCACCATCACAATATCCTTCAAGAAGTTATCCAATCAAGGTTTCAAGACTCTCAAATCTTTGTCAGCCAAGTTTCTTGTTTTTTACGTCATCGTTTCTCACTGGTCTTTTCTTTTTGTTCCGCAGTTCCGTAGAAGATTATTTGGTCAGAAGCTACGGAAGAAGTTTCAATGGTTTTGCAGCCAAACTCACTGAATCTGAAAGAGACAAGCTTTCCGGTGAGTTATAATATTATACAAAAAGACTATGAAACTCGCCACGATGATCAATTCGATTATGATGCTATTATGTTATGTGTGATGTGAAGGCATCGAAGGTGTGGTTTCTGTTTTCCCAAGCACTGTTTATAAGCTTCTTACAACAAGATCTTACGAGTTCATGGGACTTGGTGACAAGAGCAACAACGTCCCTGAGGTCGAGACCAATACAATAGTTGGTGTAATCGATGGCGGAATCTGGCCCGAATCCAAGAGCTTTTCAGACCAAGGCATCGGCCCAATACCCCAAAAATGGAAAGGGACTTGCGCAGGAGGAGCTAACTTCACATGCAACAAGTAAGTAAACAACATTTTCACTTCTCATCTCCAAGTTTCTTGCGGCACAAGGAACAATCAAAAGATACAGGATAATTACCCTAATCCAAATTCTACAGGAAGGTGATTGGAGCACGACACTATGTGCAAAACTCGGCGAGGGACAACAACTCGCACGGGACACACACGGCTTCAACTGCCGCCGGAAACAAAGTAAAAGGAGTGAGTGTGAACGGTGTGGCAGCAGGAACGGCGAGAGGCGGTGTGCCTTTAGGTAGAATTGCTATTTACAGAGTTTGTGAGCCAAAAGGTTGCAACGCCGAATCAATGTTGGCTGCGTTTGACGATGCTATAGCCGATGGTGTCGATGTCATAACCATTTCCATTGGAGGAGGTGTTACTAAAGTCGATATTGACCCTATCGCCATTGGATCGTTTCACGCTATGAACAAAGGGATTGTTACCACCGCTGCTGTTGGGAACCATGGCCCTGAACTTGGAAAATCGTCTAACCTTGCACCGTGGATCATATCCGTGGCTGCGGGTTCAACAGATCGAAAATTCGTTACTAATGTAGTTACTGAAGACGGCAAGACAATACATGTAAGAAAGTTTTTCTCTTGCTTTTAGTTGATATATTGGTGTGATCGGCGTTATTATCGATCATAGTTATGAAGTTAATGAACATACAGGGGAGATCAATCAATGACTTTGACTTGAAAGGAATGAAGTATCCTTTGGCATACGGAAAAACTGCTTCGAAAAACTGTACAGAGGAGCTAGCAAGGTAACTTGCGACTCAAGTAATCCATAGTGACCTAACTTGTGATTCAATTAACGAGATGAAACTTCACGCTATTGATATATCTGAATTTGTATGGTAGGGGTTGCGCTAGCGGTTGCCTAAACACGGTACAGGGAAAGATCGTTGTGTGCGATGTTCCAGATAATGTTATGGAACCTAAAGCAGCAGGTGCTGTTGGAGTCATCCTTCATGTCACCAATGTTGATACTCCTGGTCTTGGTCCGATTCCGGTCGCAACTTTAGATGATAGCAATTACGAAGAATTCAGATCTTACGTTCTCTCTTCAGCGTAATATAACTCTTTGCATAAATTAGACATTCTTTGATTAGATTCTGTAATGATGTTCCTGATGACACTTTTCGAGATGAAACAGAAACCCGCAAGGAACTATATTGAAGAGTGAGACGGTCAGGGACAACACTGCGCCGATCGTTGCTACCTTCTCTAATCGTGGTCCAAACACTCTCTTTAGCGATATAATGAAGGTATCACTCGAAACAAGATTCACAAAACTATACTGTACGAAGTTATGATCGATCAATGTTCTTGACATTATGTATGCAGCCTGATATAACAGCTCCAGGAGTGAATATATTAGCAGCATATTCACCTTTGGCTCAAACAGCACTTCCTGGACAAAGCGTGGATTACTATTTCATGACCGGAACATCTATGGCTTGCCCTCATGTCGCAGGTGTAGCGGCTTATGTCAAAACATTCCATCCTGATTGGTCTGCTTCTGCTATCAAATCTGCAATTATGACTACAGGTAAATTGTCAACATCAAACCAATCTATTCCCCTGAAGAAAGAGTTTAAGTGATGTGATTTGTGTATCCCTTTTTGAATTCGTGTAGCTTGGGCAATGAATGCGTCCAAAAACGCAGAAGCAGAGTTTGCATATGGATCAGGATATGTTAACCCTACAGTAGCAGTTGATCCAGGGCTTGTTTACGACATAGCCAAAGAGGATTACTTAAACATGCTCTGCTCTTTAAACTACTCATCCAAAGGCATTAGTACTGTCGCGGGTGGAGCCTTTACTTGTCCTGAAACAAAGCTTAACACGAGAGATCTCAACTATCCTTCAATGTCAGCCAAAGTTTCAGCTTCGTCCTCTTCGGATATCACATTTTCTAGAACAGTCACGAACGTTGGGAAAAATGGATCCACTTACAACGCAAAATTGTCTGGTGACCCTAAACTGAACATCAAGGTTGTGCCAGAGACACTCTCTTTCATCTCATCAGGGGAGAAGAAATCTTTTACCGTTACAGTCTCCGGCAACAGTCTTGCCGGTATTTCTGGTATTGTGTCTGCGTCTCTGGTTTGGTCGGATGGATCACACAATGTGAGGAGTCCTATTGTTGTTTACACTTAGGCATCAACCCAAAAAGCTCAAGAGTCAAAGACAATATAAGTCTGTGTTGTATTCACTTCTAGATATTATAATCCAGTTTCTTTAAGTAAAAAAGGGTTCTGCTAACGTTTACAGTTCCTTCTGATTGAAACTCTAATTATCTCCTTTGCCTGGAAACATCCCCTCCATGAATTCGTCGAAGTTTTCATCATCCTTGCCTTCTTTATCATCACCACGCTCCAACTTAGACTTACCCGTTTTCCCTGACAATATCAAACACAAACATTATTCACTCCCTTCCGCAAAGTTATGATACATAACCAAATGAACTATAATAGAATCAACCCACGAGATGTTTAACTTTGTAAATTACATACCTTTTCTCCTCTCCTCTTCGTCTGTGTCATCTTCACTGCATGATCGGTTCCTGGATTTCAAATACGTATTTAGCATAATGTTATACTAAAAGAAGAAAATATGACTTAATTGTAACATGACGGTAATCTCTTTATCGATACCGTTTTCGTTTCTGCTTTTTCTTCTCTTTACTGTCTGATTTTTCACCATCCTTTCTTCTTTTGTAGTAAAGCTTCTCCGCACATCTACTTCCAAAAAAATGTTTGACGCAGAAAGAAAAGGAAAAGAGGGTTGTCAAGCTTTACTCAGAGACCAAGCAAGTGTTATAAAAAAGCATAGAAGCAAAATAGTCCAGGATGCAAGTAAGGTCATGGTCATAGCCTCATAGGTATTCGATTTCCAAAACCACCAAAAATTCTACTAAGAATGCAGATTAGAGAGAGAGAGAGATGAACAAGCTGTACAATGAGTGCCTACCTCTCACAAACCACGAGTTTTACAAGGGCTTGCTTGTCTTCCCCAGCTTCATGATAAGAAAAGTTCACCTGCAATTTCAACAAGCTCAGTGAAACAATCCGACTTACAAACACAAACATCAGAGCAGAAAATTGAGAAAATCCCTGAAGATACATACCTCATAGTTCGCTAACCCTTCCTTTTCATCACACTGTTTGCTGCCACACATAAACTGTCCTGACAGAAATAAATTGCATCTACACTCAAAACTCTTATCGTAGTTACTTCAAAAAGAAATTAGAGGAAAGTAGGGTTTGAACTAATATTAACCTTTCCCTGACATTACTTCCTTTTCCGTTCTCCATCTTAACCCCATCTACAAAACATCCAAAATAAGTCAAATGAAGAAAAGTAATACAGGAACCCACTGGAGAAGCAGTATCCATACACCAGATTTTTACCTTACCAGTCTTGTATCTTGACATGTCAGCTATACAGTATCTTCAATCAGTCAAGGAGACAAACATGTACTCATCCACACTCCCGTAAAATTAGTGCTTGTAACATAACCATAAATTATCCAACGGGTGTAATGTATCCGAAGCAGCACAATGTTTTAAAAGGATACTCTTTAAAAAGCTTATCATAGTATCGCTTCACCAGTCTTTGCTCCCAAGAAGGGTTTAAATCATCTTCTTCGGAACGTATAAACCTTTGCAAGAAAACCCCAAAGTTAAAGACAACACACAACCAAGTGTTCAAGAGAAGATACAGAAACAAAAACGCAACAAGAATCCACTTTTTATATGCTAACAATGGCGAATACCAAGTAAGATTCAACAAGAAAAACTTAAAACTTGCAAATTTTCCAACAACAAAAAAAACAAATTCAAATTTGCACCATACCGGTATCCTTCTCTTAGTGTATCGTGATCGGTTTTAATCGGCAACTTAACTTCCGCTGGCTTATCCTTCCCATAAAAACGAACTGTAAAGTTAAGAAGAAGCAGGAGATGAAGTTACTTCAGGGCATAAAGGAATCATCTTTTCAATAAATACCAAAACAAAAGCATGTGAGGCTAACTGTAGCCTCCTTCCTAGCTCAGAGGAGAAGACTGTTCATCAACCAGTTTTGATTTGGGACAAAATGGATTCGGATAAATATAAAGCTCACTTATTTACCCCAATTCCCAAATTTCTTTTTTTTTGTCCATAAAGCATTAAACCTAATATCGAGCTCACAAATCGAAAGACTAATATAAACGCATATGGAGAGAACAGTTACCGTAGTCTTTCAGAAACTTCTTGTGACGTTCATAAGCATTCAGGCCACGAATATGCGCTTGGTATTGCCTGTAGAGACGATTGAGCAATCAAATTTTAAAAAAAAAAATATAAAAAAAAAAATAAAAAGAGGAAGAACACAGAATCGGACGGATTCGAACACAGTGAACAATAGAGAGATCGAAAATCAGATGGGAGAGATGGAACGAATATTAACTGTTTCCGTTCTTCTCGGTCGTAGATTTCAGATCGGATAGTTGCCGAAGAAGCCATGTCGCCGATGTCCGATGGACACTAGTCGTAAACCTTCAAGCTAATCTGACTCTAAATATTTTTTTTCCGATTGCTCTAACTGTTTCTTAATAGGCTTGGGCCGTATGTACAACAAATATGGGCCTTTGTGGCTAAATTTTTTTTTTTGGAATTACTTATGTACATATGAATCAATGAAATTTGGGATTTTACTAACCTCTTTAGATTTTAGTCCAACATGATATTTGTATATTCTCGCTCAGATAAATGATGCATCTTCATCTCCTTAATCCTTGTGAGCTTGCCTAACACATGACACATGGCACATGACATCAAGCTATTAAAATCTAAAAGCTAGATCATTTTTATTTATTATTATTACTCCTTGAAAATGCAACTTTGTCTTAGAAGTATACAAGTATTCTTCTTCTACTGCAAAACCTATCATTAAACTTGAATTTTTTTTAGCAAGATGAGTCTTTACAAACGTTTAGAAGATGCTATGATCATTAGAAAATGTTGTAGGTAATGTGACATTACTGAAAGAACGAATTGAATATGTTCTCGATGAATGATGAATCAAACGGCTAAGAAGTTGTAAGAATGTATAAAAGTGGATGTCTTCGACTATATGGAAAATGATGAATACAAAACTACCTTCAAGTGTTTCAAACTATATACAAGTTTTTCCTTTTTCACTATTTCGTTTGTTTGTTAATTTCTCTTTTGCTTGCAGTGTAGGTAACATGTATTCAACATATTTCTTTACAATTTTTGCAACTCTAGGTGGACCTATTTATTCGACACAAAACATTACTTTTCCATCAGAAAATCACTTCTTTAACATAAAGAGTCTTCAAAAAAAATTGAAGAAAATTCCGAAACATTTTATTATCTTACAAAAGCTTAAGAGGACTCACTTTAAACCAAAACACAAACGAACAGATCAAAAACACCAAGCATAACCAAAACTCAAAGTAAACCTAAGAAATCAAGCTAGAGATCCAAAGAGAGAGGAGTTCTTGCTTCCAAAAGCTCTGCCTTCTTCTTATCCATCCGAGCTTTAAGTTCTACAAACTTCTGTTTCAATGGCTTAAGCTCTTCCTCCATTTCTTGCAGCTGGGCCAAACAAGCCTCTTCTGTCTTCTTCTTTTCTTTAACTTCATCAAGCTTCTTCTCCAACCAATCCAACTTAAACCCTGCTTCTGTCATGTATACAAGTGCAGCGCCTACATCGGAGATATCATCATTTGAAAGTTCTCGAGGCGATTTGCATAGCTTCTTCGTTAAGCTGAGTAGGACATTCATGTACCCTGTCCTTAAGTGCGAGTTCTTCGAACGGAACTCTAATGCAACGTCTGGATGTTTTTGAAATAAACTCCTCACAAATTCTATCTGCGAGTGAAAGAAATATGAATAAAAGTATAGTGAGTAAACCTTTTATGATATTTTTGTAAATAGTTTCTTTAACAACGCACGTCTTTCCCATAATCAACAAGAAGCAGCGAATAACATATAACAGTCTCTTAAGGTTGAAAATGTCTACACAGTTTTCTTACCTGTGACTGAAGAATCTCAAGCCCATTGATAACAGCCTCATTGCTTTCTTTCAATTGTTGAGTATCATCTTCCAGCTTTATCTTTTTCATAGGTTGTGGTTCATCTTCATCTTTAATTTCAAGAACATCAATCTCAGCAACAATCTTGACTTGTCCGTTCACAAGAAATCCACCACCGTTTGCATGAAGTTCGGCAAGGGGAATCATGGTTGTAAAACCAAAGTTAGGAGACTTCTGATCAAACCAGTGTTTTGCTACTGTAATGTCACAAAATCACAGAGTTGCATAAATATAATAAATCTCGCAGCAATACAACTCCATTGAAAATATAGTATCATAATATATACATATTTATTCAAATTATAAACTAAAGCAAAAGCACATAAACAAGCATAAACAAGCACCTTGGAGTTGGGAGAGCTTTTTAGATTTTTGATTTACTATAGATAAGCGGAATAGTACGTGCCTTCTCCATCCACAAGGCAACGACCCATGATCGGCTACTTCAAGAAACAGAGACAAGTAATCAATCTTGTTTCCTTTGGGGTACGCAAGAAGATGCCTGAGGGACAAAACGAATGGAAAAAAATTCACCAAAACGAAGAAGAAACTCTTATAAAACGTTATTTGGACGAAACTATAGACTTACCATTTGCAGCCACCGGTCACGAATGGATTAGAATAGATTTTATCAGATTCTAAAGTGGAGAAATTCTTGATGATCCAAGTGAACTTGTTATCAACTTTATTCACCACTGAAGAAGGCTCCTCGTAATTAAACTACCAAAAAAACATGAAAAGAGAAGTGAAACCCTAGAACCCGTGTGGCACAAATACAAAGTTCGTAAATCAAACAACAATCTCGAGCAAACAGATGAAAAAATAGAGATTTGCAAGTCCAATATGGATTCGTAGAGCAAAATTACTCTTGACATCAATTTTATCAAGTTACCATACATACTCGACATTATAAACGAACAAGTCCGAGAAAAAAAAAGGATTTACCACTCGGAGACTGATTTCAAGTTTGCACACCAGGAATTCGAATCGGTTAGGGTTTTAGGGTTGGATCATGCGAGGTTTTGGAACTACTCCACCTCAGGGTCAGTTATTTAAAAGAATTTGGTTCCGGTTAATCCAAAATATCATTCAATTCATCTGTTATTAGGTTTAGTTTAGCAATTAATTGTTTTATTTATCTATCATATTAAAAAAAATATGTATATGTGTAAAGGAAATCAATAATAATGTAGGAATTTTTCTATTTCTTGAAGGTGATTTACTTTTTTTTTCTTTTTTTTTTCTAAAGGATTCACTTTTTACCAACAATGCAGAGAGAAAGCTTCTGCGTTACTATACAGGTGGCAAACAAGTTCTATTCTTTATCAGTTTTTATTTGCATCCTAATATATTTTTTACTACAAAATTTCTCACACATTTTTACCATTTAGAAAAACAATGGTTTAATTTATCATTTAATATTTAATCTTCCAAAATCAGTTAAGCATTTTTTTTTTCTTTTCTAGCTCAGTGATGTACCGATGTTTTCAAAATGAGAGGTTGAGAATTCACAGGCATTATAGCATAATAAAAGTATATATAAAAAAAATGGCAAATTCACTAGTGATTTGACTGATTTAATTTTAAACAACATCGCCGAACACAAAACTGGTTTCTGCTTGGAGTTCTCTGATCAAGTAAGTATATATATATATTTTTTTTTTAAAAAGGTAGTATCAATTTAGATATTATCAATTTCCCCGTCCTCAAACTCAATGAAATCAACGCCAGCATTATCGTCATCTTCATTGAACTCACCAGCAACGCCTTCGCTTGGACGGATATTCTCGGTATACGCCTTGAGAGACCTTGCCTCATCAGCCATATACTTGAGGATGACATCAGCTATTTCATCTTGGAAGTCCCTCAGACCAACAAGTATGATGTCACCGGTTGCGATCCAAACCTTCTTGTGCATCGTACCACGGATGTGGCAGAGACGTTTAATCCCATCACTGCACATTGCTTCACATCGGCCATTGCCAAGCATACGAAGAACTTGTGCATACTCTTGTCCAAAAACCTTAAAGGTAAGATTACGCTTCTCATTATCAGCTTCATTCTTTCCACTCTTCTTGTTCTTTCCTCCTTTTCCCATGTTCTTCGGCATCGTCTCTGCATCGAAATTCAAATGTTAGCCCTACATATTGTAATAAAAGACTTGCAACCAAAGCAACATAGACTTGCAAACAAAGCAATCCTAATTCAACAAAGAGGGGGAAAAACTAATTAGCCTTCCACGCATATCAGAGAGACGACACATATCAAAGGATTCACAACAAGAAACTATCTTAAATCCCGTATGAGCAACGAACACCCGCGTGTTATGTTAAAAAGTTTGAACAACAGATTCGTCTCCAATCAGGAAAAAAAAAGAAAGAAAACAATTCAGGTAACGATCGTCATCTTCATCGAACTCACCAACAACTCCTTCGCTTAGACGGGTGTAATCAAAATCAAGTGTAAGAGATGAATAGAATTAAACCAAACGAGAGCGTATAGTACCACACACTATGGACGAATCAAGCTGCACTTTAGTTTTCGTGAAGCAGAGTTTGCCCTTCCTTGTCGTCTCCTTCTCTCGAGGTGGCTTTTCTTTAGGGTATCTTCGACTTCTACTTTTTATAAGAGAAGAAACTGACAGTTAGTAATAGTAGCACAAAGTTTCTTAGATTTTATCCTTTTTATATTTATTTTTAATTATTTAAGTTGACAAAAAACAATTATTTAAAATTTTAGATATAAATTAAAAAATCACATTTTAAAAAAAATCTTCTAGATCATATTTTTTTGGATTTTTACTTATTTATTTATTTAATTTGGTTATATATATTCATTACCAAACATAATTCAGTATATACTCATTACCAAAATAGAAATTTGAACTTTCATTTAGAAGCATTTTAAGAAAAATTTCTATATATCAAAACATGAAAAGCAAAGTAGTCTCAATATCAAAATCTTATACAGTATTATGTTATCCGGATCTGGATTTGATTCACACAAATCCGAGATTTTGACGTTTGGAACCGAACGTTGTGAGTAGCTCTGTCGTGTGCAATCAGAACTTGAAAAGAATCAAGGAGTAGTACTACTCTGCCATATACAGCCTGTTTGTAATTCAAATGTTCTAAAAAAATCCATCAAATTTATGAAAGTGATGAGGCATTTGGATTGATAAGCAAAATGTATTTTGGCAAATAATATAAAATCTGGACAGAAAATGACAATAACACCAAAACTCTAATTGAAACCTAATAAATAAGAGTAAGAAGAAGAAGAAATACTGAAAACTTCTTACAGTGAGGAATATATCTAAAGGGTAAGACACTAAAATTACAAACCGATGACTACAAACAGCTTCCTCTAAGTTAGGAAGACCCGACGAAGACCTTCTCGGATGTGTTTGTTGTGTAATAAACTTCATCTCTCACTTCTTTCTCTACCTTGAATATCTCAGGATCATCGAAACCTGTACACATTCATTTCAACTTAATCTCAAAGCTCAAAAAATTCTAGAAAACAGAAACAAAAACAGACTACTTGTGTGAATCTTTTTACCTGAGCACAAGTCATCAGTTTCATCGATCATCTGTACTACTTGTGTCCTCTTAACAGACTCAAGCAACTTCCAGTCTGAGATTCCATTTTCTTCTACACAAGCTTCGTCTCCAGAAACCCATTCTTTAAGAACATCCATCTTGCTGTGTGATAACGGGTCTAGTGTCCCATCTCCACTTTCGGATTCCCTAAAGAAGACAGAGAACAATTACTCTCACGAAACAGAGGTTTTGGCTAGCAAAAGGGAAAGATCAATGACTTACAGTTGTCTGAGACGCATGTTGTACTGAACAAACACAAGATCGCTGAGCCGTTTCTGCTCAATAGAGTTCTTAGATTGGTGTATCTGTTCGACCGGTATCAAGTTTCTCCTGACGCCAACCAATGAACTACAAGTCTGGCTAAGAATGCGAATCGCGAAACGTGAGAGGTTCAAGCAGCTTTCTCCATATGTAGACCACCACTCAGCTAAAAACAACCAAAGCATATGAACAGAGAAAGAGAGAGTCAAGTGATAGAAAGTACAAAGCGAAGAAACTACACAAAGAGAATCAAAGAACCGTACCAGGAAGCATTGTGTCCCGAGCTCTGATAGCTAAGTTCCTTCCAAAAACTCCAACAGCATTCTTGTACGAGTTTAGCTCCTTGCTGATTTTATCTTGAACGTTGACATCAGGAACCAAACTCTCAATACAATCAAGAACCGCCGAATTGATCTCGCTACGCATTTCTTCGTCAGCGTTGTAGAAGAACTTCGGGTTAAGGAAGAAACCAGCAGCGTGCATAGGAACATGCTGCTGCTGCTCCCACCATTGATCTATGATTCTCCAGTACACTATGTAATCCTCTCTGTTGACAAGATGCGTCTTGATCGCGTCTTTTGCTCGGTACATCGCTGCATAGACATACCCCATCGCAGGCTTCTTCTCCGAACAAACTACTCTCAAAACCCGCAAGAGAGGAAACGTTAGATGGTTTACCAAAGCTACTGTCTTCCAAAAGGATTCATCAACGATAGCATTCATCGCTAGTCCGCTTGGCTCTTTCGAATACGAGCACTCGTTCCACTCTGGTGAAGTAACCATAGCTTCAAGATTGGATTTGAGCTCGGCTATTCGACCCAACGTAGCGAAATCTGTGGCTGAGGAGCTAAATGATGGCTGCAGGAGATCATTTCCGTAAGTAAACTTCCTCATCAGATTCAGAACATCGCTACGGTTGTAGATGAATCTTGTGAAAGCTCGAGCAAGCTCGATGGTTTCGCTTATCCAGCCAAGTTTACCAAACTCCTCAAGCATCTTATCTACGCAATGTGCAGCGCAAGGAACCCAATACAGCGAACGATACTCGTTCATCAGCTCTTTCCCAGCAGCAACGTAGTGATCTTCGCATTTCGTAATCACTTGAACGACATTGGTACTTCCGATTTCTTCAACCACTTCTCTAAGTACCTCAAAGAGCTTATCAGCAGAAGGTAGTATCTCAGTCGCGTCCACTGATTTCAGAAAGACTACTTTTTCAGGACAGTAAACCAAAAAGTTTAAAACTTTAAAGCCTTTCTCAGAGTTTAACTCCTCAACCAAAACAGAACAGCCTGTTCTCTTCCACATAGCTTTACATTCATCAATCTCTTTCGTCGTCTCCTCGACGCAGTTCTTCAGTACCCAACCTCGAAGGTCATCATTCGTCGGAGCAGATACACCGAATCCTCCAGAGGCAATAGCATCGATCATCGGCTGGAAATTAGCAGAGTTCACCGCATCGAAATCAGCTCCGATACCAAGCAAAAACCGCCCCACCGCCATGTGAACCGCACTCTCCTTATCTCTAAACGAAGGATGCACAATGTTCTTGACGCTACTAATCGCGACAGGGATCAGATTGTCCATGTCGTGACTGTTGCTCGTGCCACCGTTCTCGAAAGCAGCCTTTTTGCTCCGGTAAGTCCTCTGCTTCGTTCTGCTACCGGAAAAGTTTTCGTTTTGCAGAACCACGTCCGAGCTCCCCGGAGATGCAAACCCGTTGTTGACATCACCCTGAACAATCATCGTCTCTGCGTCACAAGAAGGCAAAGACAAAGGCTCAGAGCTTGGGTTGCGTCTCTTCCTCTGGCGTCTCACGGTTCCGTCAATGCACTGCTGCAAGAAGAGCCTGACGTCTCCGGGGACTTGGTCGCAGATGGTTCCTTGTCCCTTTTTACCGGCGAGATGTTCTTTGACCCTGGTGATTCCGCCGCCTTTGAACATTTTCCGGCAGTAGAGACACCTCATCTGAAGCCTGTCGCCGTATTTGTAAATCTCACAGTGCTTCCACGCATTGTCTTGCTTCTGTGGTGTTAGAGCTACAGGTTCCAAATCCGAATCCATTTACTCTGAGAAAGAAAGAAGAAAAAACAGAGACTTTGTTAAATGGGGATAACAACAACTTAGGACTCACATCGATTTTTCCGAGATAAAACGAGCGAAAATTGAGATGAATTAAACAACAGCTTCTTGATATAAACGTAACGAAGATGACAAAGCCTAGATCCTCTAATGAACATCTCAAGAGACAATTATCTCAAATTACAAACTGATTATTCAAAACACATTAACCATCCTTCAGAAATCAAACCCAAATCCCCCCCCCCCCCCCCCCCCCCCCCCCCCCCCCCCCCCCCCCCCAACACCCCCTGCATCAAAATGTCGAGCTGAATTACACAATTTCGATTAGAAAAAAAAAAAAACAAAACCGTATAAATTATTCACACGTTTGATATTGTAAGAAGAAACAAAATTGTGTAGAAGAAGAGGGAGGAAAAAAAGAAGAACCTGTTTTTTTTTTTTTGGTTTGCAGGTTGTGCCCGGTTACGGAGAAATCGGTTTCGCAAAAAAGGCTCACAAAATTCCGGTACACTAGCTTCGGTTCTGGAGTATAGGAAGGTAGAATAAGTCGGAGATGAAGATTCCGGATGAACGGCGGAGAGAATCGGAGGAGTATATGCAATGCCTGGGAAATTTGAGCCGGCCCGTTTAGGGTTCGAAGAATAGGTTCGGCAGCTTTTCTGGTTTATAAATCGAGCAAACTCTACCCAACGCTTTTTATTTTGCTAAAAAATTGTTTTTCCGTTTTTCTATTTTTTATCCCTAAATTATTGAAACGACGTCGTTTGCTTTTAGGGCGTTTTCTAATTAAAACGGCGTCGTTTTTCTTCTTCTTCTTCTTCGACTTTTCGAATCGATCGTCTTCAGTCTCTGATCTCGTTGCTTCAAGAGTCGTACAATAACAGCACTGGGGGTTTGAATATGAGGTTTTCGTTTACTTAATTCTTTAACGTCTTCTTGAAGGAAACAGTATCAGAGGTATGGTATAGCTGAATCCACCTGAGAGACATTTTGATTTCGCTGAGGCATTTCGTCGAACATTTAGACGACGACTTCACATATAAACCTATCTCCCGTGTTTGTCCTCCAGGATCGCCCCTTCAGATGGATAAGCTTCTTGATAATCATCAGTTTGCGACTCATGCTATCGCCGCCTCGGCCTCTGTCTCGCTAGGCACTGCTCTCGCTTACCCTCTGGATACTATCAAAACCATAATCCAGGTTTATTTCTCCTTCTTCTTCTTAATCCAATCTATTCTTCTATTTGTTTCTATCGCTTTGGATTCTCTGGGGATTGATTTCGCCATTGAAGTGCAGGTTGGTTCAGGACCCAGTAAGAAACTAAGCCCTTCTCAAGTCGTGAACAGGGTATTCCGCTTCTCTGGCTATTCAGGTTCGCAAATTACTCTTTTCGTTTACAATCATTTTTCTAAATTCAAGCAAAAAAAAAATGGATACATCTTTGAATGTTCGTTCGTGCCTTTTGAACACAAAATGCAGGTCTGTACAGTGGTCTTGGTTGGTTAACTTTAGGGAGAATATCAGGTGTTGGTGCAAGGTTCGGTGTCTATGAGATTCTCACAGCTTTCTACAAAGGTATTACACTGAATCCATCTCTCCTTTTCTGCCTTATAAGTAAGATCCAAGATTAGGTTTTTGCATCTAGCTTGTCAAGTCAAGATTGTTCATAGTGTACATTAGAGTATGTAGCAGTAATCAAATCCATTCATGGCTTTTCACACTCAAAGTTTGTTCCTTTCGTCCTTCAGACGAATGATACATGATGTTAGTATTAATTCGGTAGCTGAATATACCCCTTTGTTTTGAAGAATCTAAAGAGTAGTTCTTACATGAACTCTCTTCTTTGTTCTCAGACGGTAGACATGATAGCTATGTGCAAGTCAGTGAAGCTTTTCTAGCTGGAATGGTGGGAGGTGCAGCAGAAACAGTGATGGCTTCACCGTTTGAGCTAATCAAAGTCAGAAAGCAAGTCACTGCTGCATCACGAGCACCGAATGCTGCTACCGCCGTTGCAGAAACCGCGGCGGTTTCACCAATGATCACGAAACTGCTGAGAAGATACACTCTTGATGTGAAGTCGTTGACACAAACCGTCAGTCTCTTATCCATGTTAAACCACAAACACCCAAACATGACTGCCGCTTTGCAAGAGTACCCATGGATGATGACCGGAACAGGAAACCCTCCATCGGCCATGGATGTTAAGAGGCCGCTCGATGTCGCATCGCTCGAAGGATGGAGAGCGTTGTGGAGGAATCTACGTTCGGGTCTTGTAAGAGATTGTCTTTACGGAGGAGTCTTCTTCTCGACGTGGCAGTTTCTTCACGAGGCAATGATCGGCTGGAAAGCTGTCGGAATGAATCCTCTGCCCAGGTACTTGAGCTCTAGATCCATTGAGCTTGAGTTTGATCAAAAAATGTTAGTGATTGTTTAAATGATTCTGCAAAACTTTGATGATTTCACAGTTCTGAAGAAGAAGTCGGACCTTTATCTCCGGTAGCTGTTAGTCTTGCTGCTGGATTATCCGGTGCCGTTGCAGCTGCAGCATCTCATAGCTTTGATACCGCAAGAACACGTGCACAGTGTGTAATATTGCCAAAGGTAAACATAAGAATCCATCCATTGGTTTGTCACATTATCTCTTAACAAATCTCTGTTTCTCATTTTCTTTATGGTTGGTTTTGATTGATTTTGATAGTATACAGCAAAAGAGAGGAAGTTTCTGAGATGGAATAAACCAGGAAAGAGGTTTGAGAGATGGACAGGAATCCATCCTACAGACAGGAATCTCCTGTTCCGAGGGATTGGGATCAGGATGGCTCGAAGCTCTGTTGCATCGACTGTTATCGTTGGAAGCTATTATTTAGCTGTCGATTTATTGGTTCCCAAGTGAAAACAGGTATCATACAATTTCTTTTTTTTTTAGTAGCCTTTGTTTTGTTGTGACATTTGTGTTTATGTTATAAATTGTATACTACAGAGTTTTGTATCTGTGAGTGACAACCAAATAATACTATTGGTTGTATGCGTAATCACAGGCTCACTTCCAAGTGAAACAAATAAAAAAGACATTACAAGTTCTTATGACTCTGTCTTGTATCGAACAGAGAAGATAACTATTCTAACACCTCGATTTTGATTCTTAAATAGCCATTGCTGTGTTTAAAAATTGTGTTTATGTCGCAATTATACTCTACCGTTCTGTATCTGTGACACTAACGATGAACTTATATCTACAGAATCATTTGTTGTATGTATAATGACAAGGGTAAGTTGAGGATTGTATAAGAACCTTGCTAACATAACATCGATTGAAAATTTTATGATTCAACACGGTGAGGGTGCAGAAAAAAGTAAATCCATTTTCAATTTTCCAAGGCTATGAATCCCTAAAATTTGATAAATTAAGCAAAATGATCATTTTCTAATCGAGATTTTGAACAAGCTTCTAGCAAGGGATCTTTAAAATCTAACGAAATGAACCAACTAAGTAACACGAAGGCACTACTAAAATTCAACTAATCGAAAAGCAGATAATAAAACCAAAAGATGTAATCAAAATGCAATAGAGACAAAATCCAGAATAGAAATTTCACCATCCAAAACAGGATCCACATTGTTCACCATATGAACCCTAGAAACTAAAAATACGCTGTAAAGATCCCATTACGATAAAAAGCAAACAAACAAAATAGCTCAAAAGGGTCCTTCCGAAACGAATTTCTCAGAACCTGAGCTTGGTGAAGAACCATCTGTTCTTCCCGGTCTTGAAACGTTCCTCGAGCTTCGCCTTAGCCTCCTTGAGAGCTGTGACCTTCTTGTCCTTGGACTGAAGAGCCTCGAGAGTCGCGACTTCCTTGAGATCCACGTCGAGAGTGTAGCGAGTGGGCATCAGATGCTGGTAGTTAACGAGCTTGATGAAACACTTAACCCTAGATTTCTTCGCCGTCTTCTTCGCCGAGTCCTTGCGGATGACCTTGCTCGGGTACTTCTTCAGTCCGGCGACGAGGCAGTGTCCGTAGGGACGCTCACGGTTTCCGTCGTCGAAGGCGCGGATGATCACCGCCTTCTTACCGGCGTATCGGCCTTGAAGGAGGATCACCGCCTTGTTTTGCTTCAAGAACTTCACCATTGTTGCGCTTCGCTTGTAGATCCCCTCTTCCTACGTTTTATCTTTCTCTCCTATCGCCGCTCAAAACCCTAAGTGGCGGATCCTATGAGAAATGTAGGTTTAATAGTGACAAAGAAACTCAATGAAAGAGGAGAGAAAGAACCAAAAACAAACCCTAGCCCATTGAAAAGGCCTTGTATTGGGCCTGACCTGTTAAGTTACACCAATTTTTAGTTTGGGCTTTACTTGGTTAATTCATTTTGAAAGCATTTTCAATCATTTAGGCACAGAACAAATAGATACTCTTCCTTCTTCTCTCTCCTCTCTCCTCTCTAGTCTCTTTCTTCTTCAGGGAGAGAGAGAGAGGTTTCCTCTGACTTTCCGATGAAACTTTCTTTTTGTTTTCTTCAATTTCCCCGGAAAATCGGGAGCCCTATTTTTTTACTCTCCTTTTCTTTTGTTTAGCTGTCATCTTGTTGACAAGCAATCCCAACACTAGAGCTAGTGGCTAGAAGAGAAGATTCGAAATTGTTGTTATTCGCTGGTTTTTTTTTATTAAGCGGTCTTTGTCTGATTTGTGAAAGCTTCTCGCTTGTTTTGTTTTCTTGTGTTGATTGATCATGGAGAGATCTGATTCTAGAGATTCTTACAACTTAGCTCGTGCTTCTTCAGGTTAGTCTCTTTCTTTTCTTTTCGTTTATCGCTCTTTGTTTTTCAGATCGAGCTGAGTGTTTGTTTGAGTTGAATCACGTTGGATTCGATTTTTTTTAATTTTTTTCTGTAACCTAGAAGATCACAAAATGATTGAAATGCTTGAGATTTGTTTACAGAGCTTTAGTTCTGGTCAACTAATTTATCAACTTTGCTCATGTGTCTGAAGAAACCGGATCTTATTGTTTTGTGCAGGTAATAATAATAACAAGAATACACTCTTTGACGCATCTCAATATGAGTTCTTTGGTCAAAGTCTTGAAGAAGTTGAATTGGGAGGTCTTGACGATGATGCTGCTCTTCTGGGACACGCCGATGAGGAAGAGTATCACTTGTTTGATAAAAGAGAGGTAATTTGTGTTTTTTTTTTCTTACAGTTGAACTAAGTTCTTGTATTTGTATATACATTATGAGATTAATGGCTTTTAATTATGATAACAAAAACAATCAACATCTGGTTTCAGGGTGCAGGTTTAGGATCTTTATCTGAAATGGATGATCTTGCCACAACTTTCGCAAAGGTTAGCAATTTTTTTTTTTTTATCTACAATCATGTTGTTAAGAAGCGTTCTTGTTCTTGCTTGTTCTCTACTTATACTTATTTATATTGATGGTTTGATTTTCTGCAGCTGAACAGAGTTGTTACAGGACCCAAACACCCTGGAGTAATTGGTGAAAGAGGATCAGGTTCTTTTTCAAGGGAAAGTGAGTTGAATTTATTAACTCTGTTTCCTTCATAATTTCTAGACTCTCTGTTTACTTTATCTTCTAAGATGTAATTTCTAAATTTACTTCTTTTTTTTTCATCATATCCAGGTTCTTCTGCTACAGATTGGACACAGGACAATGAGTTCACAAGCTGGTTGGATCAGCACATGCTTGAAGAACAAGCTCAGGAACCTATCTGGTCTTCGCAGCCACAATCATCTCCTAACTCAAAGCCTTTGTACAGAACATCATCGTATCCTGAGAAGCAAACGCAGCTGCAGCATTACAGCAGCGAACCGATAATTGTACCGGAATCTACGTTTACTTCTTTCCCTTCCCCTGGCAACAGAACTCAACTGTCTTCACCGAGCCATATCCACCGTGCTCCTTCTCTCCCTGGTCGTAGCCACTTGAACTTCTCTGCTCCAAATGTCTCTCTTCTGTCAAACTCTACTCTCCATCTTTCTGGAATGTCACACGTGACGCCGCATTACAGTAATAATCTGGCTAGATATGCCTCATGTGGTCCTACTCTTGGTAACATGGTGCAACCTCCTCCTCCTCACTGGGTGACCGACCCGGGACTTATCCACGGGGATCACACCGGACTGTTGCACAGCCTCGTGCAACAGCAGTTGCCTCCTCGGAATGGTTTTGCTTCACAACAGTTTGTTTCTCTTCACCCAAGACAATCTCTAGCTCATCTTGCTGCGTTACAGTCTCAGCTGTATAGCTCCTTTCCTTCGCCATCACATAAAGTGCCTTTCGTGGTTAGTGAAGTTAAGGAACACAAACATAAGTCGTCTCATAGAAGCCGTAAGAACCGAGGCATCATCTCCCAACAGGCGTCGGATTTGTCTAGCCAGAAAAGCGAAAGCGGTTTGCAGTTTAAGTCAAAGTACATGACATCAGAAGAGATAGAGAGTATTCTCAAGATGCAGCATTCCAATTCACACAGCAGCGACCCTTACGTCAATGATTACTACCACCAAGCCCGGCTTGCGAGAAAGTCCGGCGGGTCTATAACGAAGCCGCCTCAGTTCTATCCATCTCATTTGAAAGATCACCATTCTCGGTCCCGGAACAGCTCAGATCAGCAGCCACAAGTTCACGTGGATGCTCTTGGAAAGATTACACTTCCTTCTATAAGCAGGCCACGAGCTTTACTCGAGGTTGACTCTCCTCATAAGGGATCTGAGAAACATCTTGAGCAAGAACCTCTTGTTGCTGCTAGAGTCACCATTGAGGACGCTTTCGGAGTTCTTATCGATATAGTCGACATCGATAGGACTCTCCAAGGTAACCGGCCACAAGACGGAGGGTCTCAGCTCAGGAGGAAACGGCAGATACTCCTTGAAGGATTAGCTACATCGCTTCAGCTCGTTGATCCCTTCAGCAAAACCGGCCAGAGAACAGGGTTAACCGCAAAGGACGATATCGTCTTTTTACGCATAGCGCTGCTTCCCAAGGGCCGGAAACTGCTCGGACAATATATACAGCTTCTTGTTCCGGGCACCGAGATCGCTCGGGTCGTCTGTATGGCTGTATTCCGCCACCTCAGGTTTCTTTTCGGCAGTTTGCCGTCAGATAGCGTCGCGGCGGAGACGGTAGCTGAACTTGCTAAAGCGGTTACGGTTTGCGTTCAGGCGATGGATCTACGAGCACTGAGTGCTTGTCTTGCAGCTGTTGTTTGTTCTTCAGAACAGCCTCCTCTCCGTCCTATAGGAAGCCCTTCTGGTGATGGAGCTTCCGTTGTCTTGGTGTCTCTTCTTGAAAGAGCTGGTGAAGTAGTAGCTGCAGTTCCACGTGTCAACAACCATGGGAACTCCAATGATGGACTCTGGAGAGCTTCGTTTGATGAGTTCTTCTCGCTTCTTACGAAATACTGCAGGAGCAAGTATGAGACGATCCATGGTCAGAACCAGGACGACGCGGCTGCTGATGTGTTGGAGCTAGCTATAAAGAGGGAAATGCCCGCTGAGCTTTTACGTGCGAGTCTACCTCATACCAATGAAGACCAACGGAATTTTTTACTGAACTTTGGTCGGAAAGCATCGCGGGTTAGCGAGTCGACAGCTTGTGCAAGGGGTGGTCAGATTAACTATGAGTCTGTGAGAGGTTAAGTTGAACCGTATAGGAAACAAACTGTGAGATCAAAGAGTTCAGGCATGGAACACTTGTGACTAGCAGGTGTAGGTATCTTTCACAGAGCTCAGGTGATAATAAGTGTTTTATTTTTTTCTTATAGGTTTGTGCGTTTTAGAGGTAACTTCTTAAGAAGTTTCTTCATATATATGGTGGAGAAATGATGGTTACAATGTGGGGAAAGAAGATTGAAAGTGGGAGTTGGTAAAACCGGAATACAAAGAGAAAGGGAATTTCCGGGAAGAGCTGTATTTTTTGGTGCTCTGTGATGAAAACTCCTAATTGTAGGACTCATTAGGGTTTTAGGAGTTTGGAAGGGGACTAGTTGTTTGTGACTCAGTACAGACTGATGATGGTGAGATGGGGAGATGGTGATGATAGCTAAGAAGCTTTTTGTTTGTCTTAGCATCTATGTGTGTGTATATTTGAAATATGTGCATTGTGTGATAATAAGAAACGCAAATTTTTATTTATTTAAACGTCTGGATCATGCCTCGAAACTCCGATTTGTTAGTCGTTTGTATATCTGGATAGAGGGTAATTAGATGACTCGAATGTTTATATACTTCTGTTATTGTAAGAAGTTGAAAACTTCAAATGTATTACGCTTACGCAATCGTTGTTATTACAAACTGGAAATGTTTACTTCTTTTCTAATAAAGGTCACATGAGTTGATATAATTTTGGCGGTTATTTTTCTTCTAATTTTAATTACTCTTTCTTTTTTTGGTTTTTGGATAAAACAACCTCACGGAAACAAAGGAACTTGATGGACTGATAAAGTTTGGAAAATTCGTACGTAGTTCAATCGACCACATGGTCAGAGGAAGTGGTAGGAACGAAAACACGTGAAGCATGTCTTTTTCGAGTTTGTTGTAAGTTGTACTTGTAACTGCTAACATGCCACGTGCGCTTTTTAGCTGTCACCTTTCTCCTTTTATTACAAGAAAAAGACATGAAGCAAGCCGGGATATGAGGTGTTCATGATTGTCTGAACTTTTTGACTTGTGGTTTCAGCGTAAATATGTACTTTTTCACCCAACACTTACTTTTTTTCTATTTCTCATCAAGCATTTTTTCTATGCCTCATCAAGCATTTTATTATAAATGTTTTGTTTTTGGCTTCAGGTTGTCAACTAATGGGGCAGAACAGAACCAGTGGGGACTTTAAAGAGTAGTGCAAATCTTTTTTTTTTAATAGAACAAACTAACTAGAATAACTATATATATGATATTAATTATGGTATGAGAAACAAACACAAGTTTTGTTCCTCAAGACTCAAACCTAACCGAACAATAGAAGAATAAATTAAAAGACACTAGAAAAATTCATAATGTAGAAAGTTAGTAAGTCTTAAGGTCACAAAGGAAGCTCCTCCTCTTCCATGGTATCTTCTCCGGACATGTTTTCATCTACGTCATCTGTTTCGGTATCTACATAAGCCTGAGAACTCACTATTTGTCCTCTCAAGTCCTTGTGTTTCAAGCTACCTGCAAAGTGTAGAATCGCATTCAATAAAGTAGATAATATATAATGGTTTGTAGCATTCAGTTACGATTAAAGCCATTGACATTTCATAACAATATTAATTAGCTACGAGAGAGAGAGAGAGTGAAAGCAAAATGTGTAGTCATGTCGTACCCATCCAGAAGTTGGAGCCGCGTGATGTTGTGTGTAGAAGAGCCTTAACGTGAAACAGAAAACGCTCTAAAGATCTCTTCGTCGCTGGTATTTTGCTCGTGATGGCTGTCTGTTTCATACCCTAACCTCCCCACAAAACAAAACTCCGTAGTCAGTTTCTTCTGTTTCTGAGAAGGAAAGAAAAAGCGCATAACAGGTTGTCTGAAAACTAACCTTGGCTTCAGAACATAATGTCTGTAAAGTCCTTGTAGCTTTTTGGAGATCTTTGACCTATATTCACATGTCAGTTGTAGAAATTTCAGTGGACTGAGAGAGAGATACAGTAAAGGAAAAAGAGTAGAATGTAGAACTTACCAATTGGATGACTAGCTCGTTATGATCTTGAATATGTGCTTCCAAGAAATCAAAAACTGCACATTTTTTTTTGTTTTCCAATTTCAAATCTCAAATTAACAAGCCAGCTAAAATGAGGTAATTCAACTCTTGTGTGATAAGAAGACGGAAGAGAGTATACCTTTTAGAAACGAGTCCACATACTTTCCACCATACTTGATAGCCATGCCATGGATTGTAACCTGCCAAGTCATATTATAACATCATCATCGTTACACGAATCTGCCTCCGCATATTCATATCTGACAGCTTTCACGTAATGCGTCTATGCTCATATAACATAGCAAAGAAAATTAGTCACCTTTTGATGAGATCGGCACAAGTTGACTAAAGACACGACTACATTTACAGTCTTCTGAATGTTTTTCAAGTGCGCTTTGGTAGCTTCAGGTTGATAGTTTTGTCGTTTCTCTGAGCTAATAGTCTTTACCTAAACAGGATAAATATGGTACAATACAAAAGGAAAGAACTTAAAGTGTGGCAGAGAAGATAGTAATAAGTGAAGAAACGCACAAAAAGAAGATGGATTTACTGACCAGTTTGTTGACAATTGCAAGGTTTTCTTCATGCTACATAAAGCACCAGCAAAAGTGAGGTTGTTAGTCGCTAACGGGAGATTGTAATAAATATGAGATATGTAAGAATTTATCTTACCAATGTCTTGTACCATCCTCTGAAAGTCGCTGAGCATAGGGTAGGGAATTCATGATCATGGGCATCATCTTCTCCTGTTGTCTTGGATAGAGAGGCCTATTGAAACAAATTCCAGACAAAATGTGCAGATGAGTTAATTTATATGACGTGAGATATTTAACCATTTGCACATTTTCCATTTCAGGATGTAACAGTCAATCAATCAACTCGGCATGGAGAAGATGGGTTTAGTTTTCCATTTCAAAAAGCTTTCACATTACATCAAACTCTATGCAAAGTAGAGCCCAGAGAAAGATTTTTTTTTTTCTCAGCGTACCTGAGGCAAAATGGTACAAGCAAGCTCATCGAGCAAATCAGATGTGGATCCACTGGTTTCCAGGTATATTCGCAATATGTTTTGAACCATTTCACCCTGCGGAAACCCAAAGCTATACGCATTGAGAACATTGAGCGCACTGCCGTAAATTGTGCTATCCATGATATCTGACACAAAATGAACATACCTTGTTCTTCAAACCCTTATTATCAGTACTTTCATCGATCCATTTATGCCTGAGAAGTTTCTCAGCAGAAGTTCCCAGTTTTGCATGTAGACTGGGTACAAGACCCTGGAAATGACCTGGATGTCTCTTTTTGGTAGCTTCTTCAGATACCTTACCAAGATATTTTTGCGCAGATGTCACCACTAACTGTAGAGTGAGAAGACATTCAAAGGCCAGATCAAAGGAGAAGGAGCATGCTGCAGGAACATATATCAATAGCAATATGAGTTTGAATAAGATAGCATATAACATGGAATGATCGGTAAACCAGAAACAAATATTTACCGTTATTTAAAATATCTTCAAAGAAACAATAGACGCCAATATACAAGTACTCCTTTGTCCCTGGTGAAGGGAAAGGTTGAACGTCTGGGAAGCTAGCAACTGGTATTTCAGTTGGCTGGAATGCTTCAAGAAGATTCAGTAGCAGTGATTTGTCTGTTTCAAACCCCGGAAGGGTCAACATCTGTGAAAGAACGTAAAAATTTAAGAACTGAAATTATCATACTTGTTTCTAAGTTAACCATATGTATCACAAATGCAACCAATGTACAAAAAGTCAAGTTTGGAACTGTGATAACCAAATGCATCACAAAATTGGCATCGCATTGGATATAAAATACCTTGGTGAAACAGTATAACACTTCTTTACACACCATTGTGTATATAAGAGATTCAGAAACCACAATATTGGATGTGTTTGGACTTCCGGCCATAGCAAACTCATCTCTCCAACTAGTTTGAGAAGTTTCCTCACCTATTATCATTCATTATATTTAGGTCAGATTAGAACCAGCTAAAGCAGTATCGTTAGCTCGCAGCAGGTTGATCATCTCCAGTTATCATACCTTTTATCAGCAAGGAAATTGCTAGATTCAAATGCATCCTGACGCTTGGAAAAAGTTCTTTTATTTGACTGACAAGTTCAACCAATTTGAATCTCCCGAAACTACCTGGAGCGTTTCCTCGCTTGAAAGGATGTTGTTTACTAGGAGGAACAAGACAATCCAGCTTGGTATGAAGATCTTGTAGAAGATACAAATACAGGGGTAGCTAGTATAGAAAACAAGTGAACAAGATGTTAAGATGTTGAGATGCACTTCTCACATGTAAACGAAGTTTAAAGAAATATTCAGTACTTATCTTGGTACCTCAGCTTTATATTCAGGGCTGTCTATGTCTTGGCTCCGCACCTATATGTGAAAGATAAAAATATTAGCCATCCCTTTCCCAAGTCCTTAGAACACCCATGATTGTTATGCGCGAATATCTCCTAAGGTTCCAAGAAAGATGTAATAAAATCTCAGGCTAAAATTAAATGTGAATTCGTGGGATATTTATGTAAAGTATCTGTGACGACTTCATTCAAAAGACTAGAAGATACAAATATTCAGCCAGATTAAAAGGTTTCACTAGGCTGACCTTTGGAAATTTTAAGATGGAAAGGCATTGAGGAAGAAGAGGCCTGAACTTTAATCTTTGGGCTTCAAGTGCCGGAGAAACTTGAGGAATCTTTACACTTAGAGGTTCATCATCAGAACAAGTTTCATGGATTGACCCTGATGATGTCCTGCCATCTAAAGATGGAAGAGAAGGACTTTCATGTAGCTGTGTTTGACTCGTAACTACGCCTGCTTTCTTGAATGCGTCCAAGATAGTTGGCTGTCGCAGCTTTTCATCCTCGTTCGAGTGCTTTGGTTTTTTCAAGTTACTTTTCATGTTTCCCTTGCGTTGGGTGGCATCATCATTTAGCTTCCTCTTCTCAATTTTTCTCTCTGGATGCTCTACGTGAGTATGTTGGCTTGTGGCTGAATAAGGGTGGAGCTCCGGTAGAGACTGAGGAGACAGCGCAACCAAATTGCTCAATAAGCTTTCCAAGAATCTGCTTCATCAAGTATTCTTTTCGTCAGAACTTCGTGAAGAATAGGCGTTATGACGCCCAAACCATCTTAAGAAGAGTGTAAACACACAGCAAAACGGTGACAAAGTAGCATGAACATACACTAGATTGCTGAGTCTCTTCAGAAGCTTTGTTGTTACATCCTTTTCTGTAGCTTGACTAATGCAGCCAAACCTTTTGTCAATTTGGGAACTGAAGGCGTTAAGCTGCATAAGGTAACAAAAAACATATAAAAACAAGGAAACAATTCTACCATAGCAATGATATACAAGGTCATGTCACTCACGAGTTCTCGTATCCAGTTTGCAGCATAATATAAAGAGAGAGAGAGGATTTCTCTCTGCTTTTTTGTCAGTGATTCCCATCCAGCTGCAGCAAAGTACTTGGAAATTTGACAAGATAAGCCAAATATCAGCAAAGAGGGACAGTACAGACAGGGATAAATATGGAGAAGAGACGTTCCTAAATCCTAATACTATGTTTAGTGTTTCAACCTTTCTTAACAAACCTAACAATTTGTTCTGCAGTCATGCAGAGGTCAGAATCCAGATCAACAAAACTTTTCACTAAATTGGAAACATAGAGATATGTTTCTTGACGGAAACCTAGCTTTGTACCTTGGAAGAAGGAAGGTGCAAAGGGCATCCGAGCAGAGCATCAATCCCAGCAAGAGATCCATCATTAGTCAACCTCTCAATCTGAACGTAGACAAAAAAAATCAGGTTTCTCCTGGTTTCTTGAAATGCCTACCAGTTTCAAGTGAAGGATAATCTTACAGTTGATAGCAAAAGAAAATTTGAAGGAAGAATCTGCAGACAGCAGGACCTGCAGGTACCGTGAACCTTAATTCAGTCATCAGTTGTCAAGGAGAACTCTTAGAAAGTAATTAAAAGCAGGGAAAATCTCATCAAACCAACTCTGAGGATGAAGATGCCAGGGGCAAAATGTTTAAACAGATTGGTGATATACTACCATCCAAGTTCATCCAAAGATCCCCTACACGATGATAAGAAAAGAAATGGAGCTTAATCCATAAATTCTCATAAGAGATTCAATTAATCTTAAGAATAACTATGGTCAGATATGTATTCCACCTTCTAGTCCAGAGTATGAACCCTTATCAGCCATTTTTCCGTTGTCAAGATCGGCTAGAAATAGCGACTCGAATTCTCCCAGATGCTTCCCGATCCTGAAAAGTGGTAAAAAATATCATCTGCATGAGGGGTATAAAGGCTATGTAGCCTTAAAAACTACTAAACAACTTAGTAGAAAAAAGTGACTGAAATCTTCACCACTTCATAATTTCAGGCTGAAGTAATTTATGGCTGAGAATTGTAGCGAATTCATCATAGAAAATAATTTGGGCTAAGTTAGACTGTCTGCAAGAATCTACGGATGTCTTTAGCAGCTCCAATATCTCCCCACAATCTGAAACCTGCTAAATGAAACAGTATAAAATGCAACAACTCAACAAGAGTTCCTCTGGGGATTCGAGGTCCGAAGATAATTTCATTCAACTAGTAGGAATTGCTGGATGTTACCTGAGATGATGAACAGTCAGGAACACTGTTTGCATCCCCAAGTGACGAAACAATCCTGAGAGTTCCAACTAAACCCATCTTTTTGTACTTGAGGTCTGGATGACTGACCTGCCAATATAAAAACCAGACAACTGGAAGTGAGTTGCCATCACCTAATGTCCCCTAAAAAACAAGGCGAGATAATTCACACTACCTGCTTCCTCACTATCATCATAAGTTCATTTGAAATTGAAGATCGAAAAGAATCAGGACTTGCACGAGCTGATAGTGCGAGGTGACTGAAAACCTCATAGACCTGCAATTTTGTTTAGTCATATACAATAATACATTGTCATACCAAGCATTTTATAAAGATCCCCACCTTATGCAAATTTTCCAAAGTAAATCCCTCTAAGTAGTCCAAAATGCCTGTGAACAAAGCAATCAGAAATTATGAAAACAAAAACCAAATGATCAGCATTAGTGCGTATATACAAAAAAAGCTCCAGAAATACCATTTATGTGGGAAGAAAAGGGAAGGAGTTGCTGTGCATATTTTTTCGCCAAAACCGTCATCATCTCTAGGACTGAACTGACCTCTAATTTGTTATCAGATCCCACATGTGTCACTAGGGCACCTAGTACCTGCAACAAGTTCGACTTTGAACAAAAATGGACTCCCTATGCTAAAATTATCATACTCGGGAATGACGTTTTAGCAGATTATTACCTCTTGTCTTGAATAATTGTCAGCAAACCCTTCAAAAAGACGAGTATAAATATGAGAGCCAGTTTCCCTTGCCTTTTCTTCTTTGCATGACAAGAGGTGTTCAGCCAAAGAAACAAATGATGCAAAATTATCCTGGAACAGTTGGTGAGTATGGTTAATTTTGGAAAAGAACATTTTTACATTTTGCAGGAATCAGAAACTTCTCAAAATTGTTATGAAGATCACCTGCACAAACTCTTTATTACCACCTAAACATTGATCAAGCAAGGCTTCTTGTATGCATCCATCAACCACTTTCTTCTTAAATATCTTCTCGATGCTCTTCCGGATGGGATCCCCATTCATGTACATAAGAATTAGTAGCCATACATCGATTACCTTAAAATCTCGAGGTTTCTCCAGACTGTTCAGCTCCTTTATGATTTCTTGACAGAGTATCTATAAACAGAAAAAATATGATTAAGAAGATGAACATACATTCTTAAAACAACTGTAATGAAAGCAACTTACATTCTTAAATCGAAGGCTTGATCTTAAAGCATGGAGAATAGAGCCTTCTGCATCAAATGCAGGTATTTTTCCTTTGAGTTTATTCTGAGAAGCACAAGGCTGTGACATTCCGGTGAATTTCAGCTGTTCACGTATCTGGGAGATTATTCTTCTAACATTTGTTGGTGTAGCAGCAAGAAGCAAAAACCTAAGTAGATACGGCATGTGCTCTGCATCGATTGATCTAATACATGATATTGCTACTGTAATCGCCTTTAAGAAAGGGCGAAAAAAATTGCATTCCCATCAGTAACATGTACAAATTTCACAACCTTATATCAATGGTGAAGCAGAAACTCTCACCTGTTCCTGCAATTGATCATCTAAATTGAGGTTGGAGAAAGAATCAAGTACTGGAACAACAACAGAAGAATCCTCCTGAAGCATCTTTTCTAGAGAATCAATCACAGCAGGACAGTTGTGATCCCCAATAATCTCTGGCAACGATCCAATGATTTCCTTCTTCAAATGCAGAGGACAAATCGATAGAACTTGCATCAGCTTATCGGTGAACACATCGGGATTAACGATGAAGTCCAGCCACCGGAAATGGTTGATGATAAGGCGAGCAACATCCTCCTCCAGGGAACATCCTGTAACAACGTCGAAGTACTCGGGAAGCTTCTCGAGCAGCATTTCCTGAAGGTCAAGTTGAATAGGAGATACAAGCAGGAGATTTCGAACTAAAGTCTCGTCTCTCTTTGTTGATGAAGAAGAGGAAAGCACTCTACACGAGATATGAACAAGCTCGGTTACGCAGTGAATATCAGTTTTTGATTTCGCAATTTTGAGTGGAATTACTGACCTGCGAAGATTACTCGGAGATTGAATGTACGATGAGAATCCAGCTATGAAAACTGAGCGGAGAGCACCGACGTTATCCCTCTCGCCGGAATCGGCGGAGCAAGACGAAAAGCGGCCAGTGAGATGGCGGCGGAAAGCGTGGAGATCGGAGGGAAGACATGGCGGACCGTACGGGTTCATCAGCGTGCACCCAGCTTCAGCCAGAATCGTAGTCATCTTCACCACCGCGTCGGGTTCAACGGATTCCTTTTGCGTCTGGGTAAATTTAGGAGGCGGAGCAGCTGAGGACGACGACGGAGGCGGTGGAGGCTTTTTGCGAGAGAGAAACACCATTTCTTCCGGTGACCGTGATTCCAACCAAGCGAACGGATCTTACTCCCCAATTCGCCGATTGATTCTCTCCGATTGAAGATTTACTGAAGAATTGAGTTTTCAAAATTTTAGCAACCCTGAAGAAGCTAGCGCCAAATTTTCAACACAGAAGCGCCACTGTCCTCTTTACATGACACGCAATTCATCGACGCAAAGGTAAAACGGCACGGCGTGTAACCAATATACACGTAGAATTAAAACTAGTTGCCGTTTCGCTTAATTACACATACACTACACGTGATTCCTCCATACAAAAAGACTTCTGTGGTATTATATGTATACAAGAAGAATACAAGAAGACTCATGGAAGAAACTAAACTAGCTATTGCAAACTTGTTATGTGATCACATTCTCACACTTTGCAAGTCTTGGCAAGAGGTTCACAGTCTTTATAAATCTCCAAACCAGACTGATCAAGCTGGTCTTCCTCAAAGCAAGCGCAACGTTTGCTCATGGAACCCGTTATTGCTATCTCCAAAGGTCTTTGTACCAATCTCGGCACCCCAACATCACACCAAACCTGGCAAAAAACAGCTTACCCTTTAGTATCCTATGTTCTTAATGCCATGAGAGATTCTTTGAAAACGAATTGATAGGAAGATAACAGAGGGTTTCATATCATACCTCTCCACCTTCATCTTGACTCCATCGTGAGTTGCAATTCTTTTGCTTGTCTTCTTCAAGCTTTTGTTTCTCCATGAGCTGTGCACCTCTGGAGGCTTTTGCTTCAACTCCTTTCAGGTGTTTAGTTGGATTCCCTTGGCTATCGTAGTACCGCCCAACAAGCTTCCCAACAGGACTGTGATCACAAATTCTCAGTTCTTATTATGGATCAGGCTTTGTTTGTGAGAATAAAACATATAACTTACATGTATGTCCTGGAGTAGAAACCTCTCCAGTCGACAATGCTCTTCACCTACAGAGAATAAATCTTTATCAAGCCATATCAAACATATAACAATTGTACCATACATGATTTCATTTAGCTTCCTTGCACTGAGCATACAAACAGTGTATTGATTCATTATCTTAGAAAGTGATAGCTATGAGATATGAGCACATCTGGTATAATGGCAAGAATCAAGATCAAAGCATCACCTCGCTGCTAGATAACCCACGTAACGAATCTGTAAGTCCATCTCCTGTACGAGAAAAGAATCATATCACACAAACGAGATATTTCAACACATTTTAGGGACTTGCTGAATAGCCTTCTTCATATAGCAACCAAAGTTTGAATGATTATGACTTCTCTATGCATGTTAACATGGTTTATATGGGACCAAAGATGTAAAATGCAAAAAATTTCCACATAAAATTCGCAAGAGAAGAGACTAAAATTCTTTTTTTTTTTCCAGGTTATCATGTCAAACCATAAGTAACCAAGAGAAGCAAAGACCCATGATACAAAACTTCCAAGAATTTTGTTGAATCAAGAAAGTGTGGTGATCATTTCCTAGGAAAGTAAATCTTTGTCACCAACAAAAGAGAGAACAATTCGTACCTGTAAAGTTCCCCGAAACAAATGCACGAGAAGCGTCTCTAAGCGAAAGAAGTATGCACATGGAAAAAAACTTTCCATCAGCAAGAAAACATTCAAGACTAATACAAGAAGGCATGAGAACCTCTCCACATAGTTTGATCAAACCAAAAACAAACCTTCCAGCAAAATGGTTGTAACCTCCTCCACTACCGTAATGAGATTTGCCTTTCGTCACATCAAACACAGATCTGTATATCACATGTAAAAAGATGCTCGTTTACATAAATGTACTTTCCAAGACTTGACAGAAGGAAGAAGAAAGACTTACCCAAGAATCCCTAAGAGTATAGGTAACGCTTCATCAGTGCCATTGTACAATGCCAATTCCTCAGCAGAAAACAGTCTCTCTTGATACTGAGAGCAAAAGAAAAAGAAAAAAAAACTATCACAAATTCAAGACATGGAACATCATCAAAATTGGTTCTTTAATTCAACTGTGATTAAACTCAGACCAGTATCAACAGGAACATAACAACAACAGAGACAAGCTTTACTGGTTTTACAAAGGACCAATTCAATCAAAAAGTAACAGAGACAAACTTCATTGGTTTGAAAGCAGTAGAGAGTAAGCAAAACGAGATATTTGATCTCGAGGAAACAAGTGAACAAAAGTGAGAGTACTTGGTGTTGTGGAGACTTGAGGGAAGATCTGAAGTAGAAAGCGACGAAAACGACGATCAAAGTGACCCCGAAGAACGTATTTGACAAAGATCTCTTCACCGAAACCATCGATTTGCGTTTGTGTGCGAAAATTCCAAAATCCAGCGAACTTTCTCCCGTAATAGTAGTCATTGGAACTAAATTGGCAGGACTTCATAGTAGAGAATAAAAAGTTATCGGTACTGAATTGCAATACGTGAATACACAGGGTTCACTTTACAATTAAATAAATCTCAAAATCTCACTGAAATAGAGTAGGGGTGGGCAATTCGGTTTAAGTTCAGGTTCAGTTCGGGTTTGGTTCGGTTTGGTTAATTCGGTTCTATAATATTCAAACTAAACTCAACCAATATCAATTTGGTTTGGTTTGTGTTCGGTTCGGTTTATGTTCGGTTTAATTTACTTCAGTTCAGTTTGGGTTTTAAATTAGTTAACACAAATTAATTTATAAAATATAAAATAAATAATCAATAATATTAATAAATCGAGCAATATAAAGATGTAAATATAATAATTTAAATAATTTCTTTAAATAAATATGAAAGTATGATTATAAAATTTGATATTAGTTAATTATCAGAACTTATCATTAATATTAATTTGATATTATTAATTAATCAATAAACACAATAGATTTCAGTTCGGTTCGGTTTAAAACCAAATCGAACTGAACCATTCGGGTTGATAAAAACTCTAACCGATATGTTTTGGTAGAAGCTATGGTTCGATTTGGGTCAATTTGAGTTGGTTCGATTCGGTTTAATTCGGTTCAGTTTTTTTCCCACCCCTAAAATAGAGAGATCCGGCCAAAAATACCATAAGAGCATGTGTTTTCATATCATTGATTTAACTTTTAATTATAACTAGACTAATATCTGCACGTACGTGCATATTTTTTTAAAATAAAATATGTCTATGTGAATTTCATACTTATAAATTTTTGCAAATATAATATATTTGTTGGATTTATTTTTACCGTACCATGTAGGTGACGTTACGTTAGGCTTGGCCGGAATGATGAACTTGATGTCTAGGCTTATCTAACGACTCCCTACTTAAATGTTCCTCGGTATATGGCGGACTTCCCAATGAGTGTTCTGTGGTAGCATATGTACTCTCTCTGAGTGTCTCTCTCGGATGAGACATACCAGAGGAAAAGGTGTATAAAGAAAGAAGAAGAGGTCAAAGAGGAGTAGAAAGGCCAAAGATCCCCCGAAGATCCCCCAAGCATTCCCCAAAGGCGAGAGGCTGAAGAACCTCTAACATTCCCCCAAAGAAGCGCTAACTAAGATAATCATTTACTTTTTCCCTATCTCTTTACTATATCCCCATTAAGAGAAAGCTCCACCCCCCACTCTCTCAATGGTTCATACATTTCACATTCTCCTTTATCAAATGACAGAAGAGTATCACGATTCTCGGACGGGGTATCCAAACTATAAAGCCATCACCATCCATCCGCCCTCCTGAATATCTGTTCACTGCGTGACGTAATCTAAATTGAGCATCAGAGAACTTTCGAGAAGGAAACCCATTTGCGATCTTCCAAATGCCCTATTCACCCGCTGCGAATATTTGCAGGATCCAAAAATTTTCTCGTCCAGAGAGTGTATACTGCTCGACCCTCGAGGCATAATTTAATAGGCTCAGCTGTACTACTCGGATGAACACACACATCCCCGTAAAAAATCCATAATTTTTTCACGAACAACATTACTTCGTAAATATAATAATTGTATTTTTTTCTATCATATATATATATATATATATAATTGTATATTTTAATTTATGTTATCAATTAATTTATAACATTATATACTATTTTTTTGAGAAACCTATCATATATAATTATAATTTTGTTTTAATAATTATTACGTTTTCTTTTAATTTTTAAAATACCATCATATAGAACTATTACACACATCTATTTTTTTTTCTTTTTCTTAATTTTTCTTTATGTTCTTTTTATCATCAAATTACAATTATATTCTATTTTCAAGTAAATATCTATTTGTTATGTAATTAGTTCATTAATCATCAGAGTTCCACCACCATTTTCAATTTTTTTTCGTTTTCGCTACAATTTGCTTTGAGAAATCTTTTTTTTTTTGTTTTACACAATAAAAAGAAGTAGTTTTCTCTGGTTTCTTTATATCTTGAATTATTTTTAGTTTAAATTCAATTCAGTTTTATCATTTAAAATCATAAATAATGAGATGCTTCATATTCTCAAAATGCAGTTTTGTATCTAACTAATGTAATTTATTTAATGATTATTATTTATTGGGTTGTTTTAATTTTAGTTAGCCACTTGTCACTTCTAAATTAATCTAAAATGGTGATGTGTCAAGCTGCTGGAGAGGATTATTCTCTATTCATATATATGATTTGAAATTAAAAAATATTAAATATTTTTTTATAAAATTGTTAAAAAAAATTGTTGAGAGATTCACCATAAAAGATGCTCTACCTGATATTGTTGCTAAAAAACTTTTTCTTTTGTTGTCAAAAACAAATTTATTGATTAAGAAGTATTGCAATCAGAGTCTATGATATTGCTAAATCATAGAGGCGGGGAAACATATAACGAATAGTTAGGAGCTCGATGTTGAGCTAAGTAAATGGGCAGCTCTATTGCCATCTCTTTTTACATGAGATACATTAATAGAATTGAATTTGAACATCATCCTCTAATAACCTCTAGCAAATTAAAATTATCTAAATGATGACGTTGGACGAGAACCAATGAATCGCCTTCAATACAAAGTTTATCAAAGCCCATAGACCACGCATTTTAAAGGGATACTAGTAAGGCTTTTCCCTCTGCTTTGGATGATGATGGACCTAAGTTTGCCGTAAGAGTCGCGGATAATCCATCCGGCTGTGCTATGCTGAGTGTGAGGATTAAAAGCAACATTATACTTGCATTTCAGGATTCCTGGATTAGGTGGAGTCCAACGTATTGGAGTTAAAGAAGCCGTAAGTAAGATAGCAGCAGAATGATGGACGGAGATCCATTCAACAACTTTCGCTATAGCTTTGTTAACATCCTTCCCAATTTTGATCCTATGTTTTTTGAAAATCAATTTATTTCCTTGATTTCCAAATTCACCACAGTAACCAAAAAGGCAGAAGTTTGGTTGAAGAGGGTTGATTAGGATTTGTTTGGACATCAAGAAGTGCAGTTATGATGCTTGTAGTATCTAAATAAGGAATAGTGAGAAAATGAAAAGGTGTGTTGGAAAGTCACCATGTAGCGAGAGAAACCGCACAGGAGAAGAGAAGATAGTGAATTGTTTCTGGAGCTAACCCACAACAAGCGCAATCTAATTGGAAACTTCAACTGTAAAAACAGGTATCTGCTGCCATTATAAACAAGAGAAAATGCTCCAAAATGACTCAAAATGATAAAATAATATGAAATAGATATCCAATTGAAGGAAAATTGTGAAAATGATTATTTTTTTACGATTTTTATAAATATCAGCGCTACCTTTCTAACTATTGTTATTTATAGATTAATGACAGACTACTAAGAGACTGGATGCAGACTACTAATAAACTACTGACAAATTGATGCTAGACTAATTGCAAATTACCGGCAGACTAACATTAAAGTGAAAGCAAACTAGTGAATCTTTCTTATAAGTTATTTTAGGAAGGTTTATGTTTCATAATAAAATTGTTAAGTAAGTTATTTCAAAAATTATCCCTATAAAGAATTGAATCATTTTGCAGCAATCTTCCCCAAAACAAATTCACTCGTCTAATGATTACTACTTTAAGTATTCTTAAATGGTTTAGAATTTTTACACATATCAAGAAAACACATTAAAATTTTGATTATAAGTATATTATTTTTTATGATTAATAATTTTAATAAATTCTAACCAATAATAATTCAATAAATTTAATATTTTTTTTGAAAATTCATTGAAAATACAAAATATTCATTTTTGCAATATCTAAACTATCATAGAGGAAGTATCTTTTTAATTAGTGTTTCAAACGACAACCAGTTGCCTTGTTGAATGTTGACAAAGGAAATTGCATGTTCTAATTAAAAGCTATATATATCAAAAGGATGCTAGCTCCACTCATAATTAGAACGTTAGGTTTTATAAGATTGGGACTTTGCACTAAAGAAATTCATTCAAAACAGTATTGCCTCTTAACAAAGCACTCAAATTCGAATATTCTAATTTAAACTATTCGAATGAGATATAGGGCAATGGAAGAAAAAGAAAAAAAACAATCTAAACATACTCCGAAAGTAAGTGTTTGCAACATCAAACCGTAACAGCTACACATTTCACCATGTAAAATCTCCCATCATCCAACACAATGTCACACCATTGCACTTTACCCCAAATCTCACCTCCTTGGCGTCTTTCTAAAGCAATCTCTGCATACCAAATATCTCTTGCTTTCTTTCTGACGGCATTACGTTTAGTAAAGAAGAGAGCCAATTTCCCACCGTAACTCACCGTTCTCCGGTTCCATGAACCGGCCATCTCATGCAACAATGCTTCCAAACCTTTCACCACTCCCCAACGCCTCTGTTTTGGATCATACGCTTTTAATAACTTGGTCCCATAAATATCATAATAGTACAATACGTCGTCAACAACACACGCACCATCCCATATTTCAGAATTTAGCATCTCGTCCAATTCCCATTTATTTTCCTTTGGTGCATAAAAAAGCTTTTCTCACGATTTTGCATGTAAATCTTATCCTCCATCACCACACCACCAGGCCACAGAGGACCTAGCTTCATGCCTAGCTTTGTAATCTCAGGCTCCCACTTTTGAGTTACTGTATCCAACACCATGGCTCCACTCTCATTCACATTGTCACCACACAAACATTCTCCGATTAGGTAAATTTTCCCATCGATGGTGTAAGCGACCCTTGGATTCACGGGAGCAGGAAACCTGGAGAATCGTTGCACCGTGTGAGATGTACAGTCGATGATTAAATTGTTCGACGCCAACATCTTGTTAGGATAAGCTCCACCCACTACATATATCTTGGCACCTACCGTGACGTATTTCGTATAAGAAGACCTAAGAGGGAGCGACCGAATAATGACCAAGCGATTCTTGTTGCTGGCTTTATGGTGTAGTATGTACAAGCATTTATCGCCATGTATAGAAAGGACGGCATAGAGACATTGTTCTGTGCAGCCTAAAAAGGATCGTCTCGTGTATAGCTCAGGAGATGCAATGAGTGACTGGAGACTCTTGCAAACTAAGGAGATAGTCGAATAATAGCATCGCGGTACGCGTGCGATGATATCAACGACGATCTCTTCTGGAAGTGACGTAATCAGAGACAGAGATTGCTCTTTATTCTCTGCCCTAACTTTGGAAGACATCTTATAGAATTTAGGGCTCAGATCAAGATCTTAAAGGAGCTAGGTAGGGGAAGTTCAAATCCTTTAAATATTCTTAATTATCTAATAGGGTTTAGGCTTAGGTTTTTGTTTGTGACCGCTCTCTTTCGGTACATAGAAAAAGAAAATAGGAATAATATTCATGGGATAGATTTTTCTTTATATTTGACTCCAATTCTAAATAAGATAAGTTTAGCTATTTTCCTATTTATGCCACTTCAAAATAAAGTTTTCAAGTAAAAGTCGATACATGTCATCACATATTTGTTTGATATATAAGAATTATTGTAACTGAACATAATAATATGGCATGTACCAACACTCCTCCTACTTTCTAGTAGCTATGAATTTAAACTAAATTTCGAATAAGGCAATTATAATCTTCTTGTCCTAGTTTAAAAAAAACCAATGAATCAGCGAGATTAAAAGCTTACAGTAAGAGTAAAAGAAAAAAAATAAACAACGAAAGTTGTTATGAATTGGACATAATAGCTTACACTAGGTAAGTATTTGTTTTTTATTTTTATTTTTGAACTAAATTTTCTATGTAATTATTTGTCACCACCACCGTCTTACGCTTTGGAAACGTTTCCGGGACGGGACCGGCTTGGGGACATCGTGGAAACGTCTCCGCCACGCTTTGAAAATGGGGGACTGCGAGTGGTGGACGGGGACGGTTTGGTTTGAAGTTGGGGACGTTTTGGAAATGTTTCATCGGAAAGTTAGAAGTCCCCAACACAAAAAGTTAATTTTCCAATAAAAATAATTGAAGAAGGAAAAAGAAAGTGAAACCTAGGTTGAGTTAAAGGCTTTTCAACCAAGTTTACGTCTTTACGACTCTCTTTTGGTCTTCTCTGGCTCTTGCAGTCTCGTTCTCGCAAAATTGAATAACTAGGTAAGTTTTCGATTTTCTTTGTATCATGTACGTGTGTAGTTGTTGATACTTATTAGTTGTTCGTTAAAAACTGTTCGTCTTCGTGGTGAATCGCGATCGATCAAGTATTAGAGAAACAGTTCTGTTTTTCTTTTTTCAATTTTCTTTTTTTACTTCTGTGAATTTTTGATTCGTTGATCCTATATTTGTGATGTCCCAAGAAGAATAGCGTGATCATATTGGTACTAGAGTTGGCTCAATGATAATTGATTAGCTTATTTCTTTTGATACTTGAGATAAAAAGTTTTTTTTTTTAGAAAAATTAAAAGTTAAGATTGATTATGTATGACTCTTTGATTTATATTAATATTTTATAGGATTTATAAATATTTGATTTAAGAACATTTTTATTAGTAAAAAAATAAACTGACACTTAGCCAGATATCATTTTTTAATATCAAGCAAGTGCGCCGTTTTCTATCTCTCCTTACTTTTCATTATTTTATAATCATATAATATATAAAAGTTGATGGCATAGTGTATTGAGGGTGTCTACATATGATTAAAAAACTTGAACTGATTGATCCACATCAGCATATTCATTAAATAAAAAATATTAAATATAATTAGGACAAACTGGATTTAATTGGTCCACATCAACTTTTTTAAATCAAACCAAAAATTATTCATTATAATTAAAACATTAAAAGTTAATTTAACAAATTATGTCCAATAAAAAAGTAAATTCAATCTGATTGATCTAAATCAACATATTTATTAAATCAGAAAATGTTAATATTATTTAAAAATTTAAAAGTTAAATAAAAAAAATTAACCATAAACAATACATGTATAAAAAAGTAACCATTATCAATTATCAATTTAAAAAAATCTACAACAACTCGATTTAACAATTAAAACAATGAAAACTGAATAAAAATATAACACAAAACTCTTGAAAGACATGATGGAGAAGGAAAAAATAGTTTTGCATGATCATTACAGCTTCCTAAAAAAATGCGAATTAACATAAATCATTGATTAATATACAGTGATACACAACATCAATAAGACTTTCAATAAAAAACTTAATATTTGAACACATAAACCTTTAAGAAAAAGAGAACTATAGAAATTCTATGGAAAACAGAAAATAATACAAAAATCTTAGCAAGAATATATTTCTCTAAATTAAATGTGTATGTACATCAAAATTGGATAATTTGATAGGTGTCATTGTTATTATTTTACCTAATACTCCCTCTGTTTCATATTAAGTGTCGTTTTGACATTTTTCACACATATTAAAAAAAGTGATTAAAGTTCTATTATACCCTTAAACTGTTTAGATAATTACACTTTTCTATTTATATACACTTAAACAAATTAAAAGAATAAATCTCAAACGATCATTCTTTGTTCTTTAATGTAGTCAAATACTTAATTAATGTCTTTCTTGGATCAAAGCAATTTTACAATGAATTAAAATGTTAAAGACAAACTATTTGTCTAAAAGTTTCTAAAACAACGTTAGATCAACTAATGGAACGTAAAGGTGTTACCAATAATTCATTGCAATTACCTTATCACTGATTTATCATTCAAAATATTTAGGAAGATAAATTTTAAGCATCTCCACTACCATGTTTCAGGACTCCTTATTAAGCTCTTCTTCTTCATTACGAGGTTTGTTTAAATCGAAAGCATGTACCACTTTAGCATCAACATCATGAATTTGAGTTCCCTTCTTCAGTGGATGTTCTCCTTCTTCGTATGGAAGTTTGTTTAGATCAAAATGATGAACAACTTTGACGTAAACATCATCTCTTTCACACTTCACCTTGATTTTTTCCTCAACCTGCAAATTTTGAAATCCTTTAACAAAAAAAAAAAAAAACCTGCAAATTTTATATACATTTTTTAGCCATGACTTATAGGATGATTGAATATATAATTTGATCGATAAAAAAAATCAAATAATTTAATGTAGAGTTAGAACGTTAACTTAATTGGGATTGAGAAAGTTTAATTATTGTGTGTAAAAAAAGTGTCTCTTGACATTTTTTCATAATTTAATTTTTAATATCTGATCAGTTTAAGTTGAGGTTAAAAAAGGAATGTTTTGCTAAAAGTTGTATTGAAATCTGAGAATGACACTTTTTGTAACAAAAAAAGTGTTAAAACGACACTTATTTTGAAACAGAGGGAGTAGTTTTTAAAAATTTATAAATAAAAATAGGATAAATTACACATTATATATTAAATTCTCTTATATATATGAAAATTTCTATAAATATATATATTTTTTTAATAATTTTAAAGATAGTAACTAAAAAAAATAAACCAAAATATTAATACAGACTCGCGCGTAGCACGAATTATATACCTAATCTATTATATAAAGACTGGGTTTTGTCTCACAAGGAGATGACACCTCAGCAACCCCTCTCCCCAACACATCAGCATTAAATTTTTTATTTTTATTTTATAAACTTAATTAAATAAAATTAGGTCTCTCCGTGACACAGTTTTCTATAAACTTTAGCCGTTCCAAATTCTAATCCCGTTTTCTGTGCAATATTAATGGACTTAGAAAAAAGATTTAACCTCTATAAATACTCCAATTTACCATCAGTTCTCAGAAATTCCCAACACTCTCATTTGATATCAGATATATCTAGCAAACGATCGGAGACGAAGAACGAGTTTGCCAAAAACAAAATCGCAGTCGACGGAAACTGCGATACTAAGAACGTAATTCGAGATTCTCAGACGCATCCAAGTTCAGGTATTGTGTGGATTATTTACGCTCCCCCTCCTTTTAATAAATTTCATATTAAGCATTTTTCACTTTGCCTTCATCTGTCTCTCCTTTCCGTAACTCTTCGCCTTCCTTCCACATAATCCAATTTTCCAATTTTTGCTAATTCTCTTTGATGATATTTCTCTTCCCCTTCTGAATTTTTCTGGGTCTTTGAAGGAGAAGATCAATATCACAATATATGTTTCAGCTTCTCGCGATGGTCTGTTTCAGACTCACGGGGAAATCCAGCAAACGATTGGAGACAAAGAACAACGAGTTTGCCAAAAACAAAATCGTAGTCGACGGAAACTGCGATCGTAAGAACGTAATTCGAGATTCTCAGCCGCATTCCAGCTCAGGTATTGTATGGGTTTCTCGAAGCTATAAATCATATTTTTGATTTCTCAAATTCAGAATCTCGCTCTTTAGGTATTTGATTTAGATATTTCCGGAATTAGGTCATCTGTTTATTGCGAAATGACGTTTTTGAATCGATTTGTTAGAGATAAATTAGGTTTATTTGTGTATCGTATTGGAGGAGACAGAAACAATTTTTAGTTTTTGGTTAATCGTTTTTTTGCTGCAATCCTTGATTCATATTTTGATGTGTGTTGTATGTGTTGTGTATATTGCTTAAAAAGTCAGTCCATGTGGAGATGTAAACAAGGATATAACTACTAAGGAGGATCAATTAGCTTTGGACGCGAAGGATTCGAATGTGGAATATGAAGTTTCAGGGAAGAAAGCACAGACTTTCACCTTTGAGGAACTCTCTGTTTCTACAGGAAACATCAGGTCGGATTGTTTCCTAGGCGAAGGAGGTTTTGAAAAAGTTTACAAAAGCTTCATTGACAAACTCGATGAGGTATATTTCTTGATTCAATCAGTTTTATTGTGTAATGTGGATTTAACTGGTTAGAGATTTTTTTAACAATCTGTGAATAGGCTGTTGCAATCAAGCAACATGATCGAAATGGTGCTCAAGCAATCAGAGAGTTCGTGGTCGAATTGTTGACACTAAGTCTCGCTGATCATGAGAATCTTGTAAAACTTATTGGCTTCTGTGCTCAAGGTGTTCAGAGACTCTTGGTCTACGAGTACATGCCACTAAGATCTCTTGAAAATTACCTCTATGGTATGTTCTTGTAGTATACCTCAACTCAAAATTTCTCTTTACTTGTCTCTCTAAGCTTATTGCAGAACGAAACTGAATCGTCATTTCTGTTTGGTTTTAGATCTTCCTCATGGTAAGAAACCGCTTGTGTGGAGCACTCGGATGAAGATAGCAGCTGGTGCAGCGAGAGGTTTGGAATATCTCCACAATACAATGCTGCTAAGGCCAATGCTCTCAAGGACAAGGCTGCGGAAGTGAAAAAGAATGCGAAGCCTGAAGCAGATGATGTTGAAGAGGATGAATCCGATTCTGATGGAGTGAGTTTTCTGTACCGTACTTTGATTTTGTTTCTTTGTTTCAAAGTAATATGCATATCATGCACCATTTAGAGTGATGATGAGTTCAAGAAACATAGGCGATAAGTTCTAATATGATTGGCTTTTTTCTTTGCAGATGAGTGTTGATGAAGACGATTCTGATGATAAGACGATTCTCAGGAAGAAAAGGAGGAGACACCTAAGAATGTAATAATACATCTCAAAGTCTCTCCAACACTTCCTTGTGCTTGATAATTCTCTTTTCACCATACTTTTTTCATATGATTTGCTTAAAGCCTGAATCAAGCAAGAAGAGAGCCAATGAAGCAGCACCCAAAAGACATGTGTCTGCAAAAAAGGCTAAAGATGAAGTAACTCCAAAGAAAACAGGTAAAGATCAAAAAAATTTCTTTTAAATGATTCACTAGATAGCATAAATGAAGCAGCACACATTCTGTGAAACTTTAGTACTCATTTGAAGATTTATTTGGCACAGAGGATAAGAAGAAAGGACATACCGCAACGCCCCACCCAACAAAGAAAGGTGGAAAGACTCCAGCGACTGCAACTCCAGTCTCATGTGGTTCATGCAAGAAGTCAGACTCTCTCTCTGTCTCTTTAAACTCTCTATGAGCCTAATATTTCTTCTTGTAATAACAAGTCTCTTGTTGTGATCATCTATCTTGTGTCAGATATTCAACTCAGAGAATGCACTTGAGTCTCACAACAAGGCTAAGGACTCTGCTGCCAAGTGAAGTGGTTTCTTAGAGCTATCAACAACTCCTCTGTTTTGGGTTTTGAGAAAGATCATTGTGATATCTTTGGATTTTTGTTTCTAGTCTTTATCAAAACCTTCAGATTTTTTTTTCTTTTATTGAAAAATAAGTCGTAATGAAAAGAAAGGTAATTGGAGTACGACTTGATACTGTTGGATGCTTTTTTAGTTTCTACCGTTTACACTTCCAAAGGCTGAAGAATGCAAATTCAGTATATTGACGAAGCCAAATCACTTTCACTTGTGAAACTTGATAACGCATACAAAAATGTTGAAGAGCACTTTCATACTTCAAAGTTCAAACACAAGAAGAAAACATTATTTACCTTGTAGCATCTCAGTCTATCGGGGTTAATTAAAAAAAAAAAAAAGGAGAGTAAAAAATCATTCAATTTAATATCAGGTATGTCGAATTATCCAAGATTTTCTAGAATTGATGCTGAGTTTTGATGACTTGTCCTTCAAGCAATTGTTATTGATTCTTAGGTTTCTCTAGTTTTACGTTTCTTAACCGATGGATTATAAGGTCTTGGTCTTCTATTCCCCATTGCATATATATATGTGAGGAAGAGATTCACATGTTAATGAACATAATAGTAAATAATTTGATGATACTATGGATTCAAGGCATTCAAAGATGATTAGTATTCAACAAATTTGAATCTCATAATAATTATCGAAATCTATCCAAGAGTGCCACAATTAGTCTGAGAACTCTATGTGGCCATGGCTCTCGATCCACACTAACACGACCGGTTCACACAGTTTAGGTGGTCTTCACAAAGATGCAGACACTCTAATCTTTAACCAACCTCAACTTCAATTTTTTTCGATTTCAATACAAAACCAAATATGACAAAGACCCAGGAAAGTTTCAAATTTGGTCAGTGCCAGATATCAGTCGTACTCATGACCAATAATGCAAACGACATTAACGTGTGAGGAGCAACTTGCTACGAGCAAGATCCATCAAATGCTTTTGCCAGTAGCACTTGGAAAGTCAACAAGCAAGCAACCAGAGCCAATATTTGGACCTTCCTGCAAATTCTGAGAAAATAAATAATAAAACAAATTGGTGATCTATGTTTTCATGGTTTGGCTCAGAGTCTTATGTTTTTGATTCAGCTTTTGTATCAATCGTGCCAGAGGAGGAACTTGCAATTTATGCGCATACCCAAATACAATACCCTGTCCTATTATATAACTCGTTGAGGTGAAAGATCCTGCACACAATCCAGCTCATACTCCCCATGCATTGGTCAAAAGATATTTTTCTACGCACAGTGAGGACTTTAGGGTCTACTTTAAAATATGCACACTATAGAATCCTTAATGAAAATAATTATTAGGAGAATTTTACTCATTAATAAATTCTTTAAAATTAATTAAAAATTATAAAAAAATAATTTGATAAAAAAATAAATATATAACCAAAACATATATATTTTCTATCCGATAAAAACACAACTTCATACAAAAAAATGAATTTAAATCAACGTAGACAATTATGTTAGAAACCAATACAACCATGTGAAGTCTGCTTGAGAAGTCTACTCAATCACTAAATCTTAAATGTTAATAGTAAAAATTATAAAAAATAATCTGGTAAAAAAATTGCATACAAAACTAAAATATAGACAATTAGTATCTTTATAAAATAAAAGTTCATGAAAATGAATCAATTTATCAGTTTCATGAGTCAACAGTTCAAAAGGGTTAGGGTTGAGGTTTAGAGTTTAAGGTATAAGAATGTCATTGTTAGAATTTGCACAAATTCAATATGAATCATAGTTTATGGGTCAGTTATTAAATAAGGATTCATATATTTGATATTTTGATTGTGAGTTGTCAATATGGTAAGTAAATTAATGTTTTTATATAAGCTTTAATCAAATTTTTTTGATTTAGGGTTTAAGGCTAAGTAATCTTCTTCAGTAGACTTTTAAAAGAAGTCTGAAATTCCAAAAAAATATAGTGGAAAATCAAAATTATTTAATAAATTAGGCGGAACCGGAACATAGCAAACTGAATTTGTTGGTAATTGATCAATTTCACCGGTTAGGCAGACTTCTCCAATAGACTTCAAAAAGCTCTTTTGTAATATAAAGTTATTTGGTTGTTTTAAAAAAAATCAAAATATTTATGCTATTTTGTTTACAAACATCTTAAAACCAAACAATAAAAATAAATTATTACCAAACAAATGTATAGTTACTTAAAATATTATATTAAGTACATTTTTAAAAATATATAATAAAACATATACCCGCGTGTACATGCGGGTCATCACCTAGTTTTTAATTATCAAAACAGGATCGTCTCTAGTCCAGATACGATTGTTGAAAATGCTATAATAACATGTTAGCAGTACCATAACCGATCTTGTTACCATGAAGTTTGATAGTAAGTAATAGTACAGAGAGACAGGTTTTATAACATTGTGGGACTTTGAAACAATGACTTTGTCCGTGAATGGACCACGCACCAAAGAAATCCATTCAAAATGGTTTCTTAACAAAACATTCAAATTCGAATATTTTAGTTTAAACTACTGGGTTTTGATGCGCGCGTTGTGCAGAGTTATTGTTAATTTTTTAATTTTATTTTATAGTTTTATATTTTTATTTTATCATTATGTTTATTTATATTTTATTTATTTTGTTTATAGTTATTTTTATTTTTTCATTAAACTACTTTTATTATTTTTATCCTAAAATATATATTGAGGTTATTAACATGTGCTAATTATTAAAAAAATTATTTATATTTATATATTGTTATAAATATTTAAGTTTTTTATTACATGTATATTTCTATACAATTGGTTTCTACCTTTTTTACATTGCTTATTTCCGGCAAGATCAACAATCTCAATACTTTAAACTGAATTACCTTTTCATTTGTCATAAATTTTTGAAAATTCTAACTCATTCTGAAGCAGAAATAATCATGCTTTTATTAATTTTTTTCTTCGTATAGATCAAGTTTATTTCATGCCATATGATTAAACACTTTAGTCTTCTTTATTTATATAAAACTTCTATTTATTTTCACAATAAAATAGATATAAATGATTTTACTTTACTTTTATATATAAATCTTTCCGGTTTTTCTTTTTAAGTTTGATAAATCTGCAAGTTCTTCCATCATCTTTCGTATTTGTTTGCATTCTAACTCTTTTTCCACATTCTCTTTGTTTATATCTGAAATAACATTTTGATTTATTTTTATTTTGTAGAGAATTTGTAGTTTTTATGATTTGTAAAATAATTATTTATTTTATATAAATAATTTTACTTTAGTGAGACATTTTCGAAAAAACACAATTTACATAAAGTCATTACAAAATTAGACACTTTAGAGAAGTAAGGCACTTTGGTTAATTTTGAGGACCTGATATGACCATTTTACCCTTAGATTTGTATTGATTGACTTTTTTACTAAGGATTGCTAGTTTTTAGTGTGAGGTTAAATTGAGAGATGTCGACTGTCTAAATCGACGTGTCGTTGTTGTGTAACCGATGGCATAAATTTGATGAGGATAAACGCAATTCAAACAGTTAGAGAAGAGAGTGAAGATACCAGACTTAAACGTGTATGAGCACTAGGAAGATTAGGGCATGAAGGATGTGGCGATGTTGAATTTGCTTCCGAAAACCTCGCATGGTGGGTGGAACGATGTTGGATGTATGCTTATAGGTATGTTTTCTGGTCATCGATCAACATGGTGGAGATCTTGAGCCGACAGTGATTGCGACGGATCAGGTTTTGCAGTCCGCAGTAGAAGGAGCATGTACATACATGACATGGTTTGTGGACTGTGTTGCTTCTGGATGGCAGAACATTATACATCGGCTGTTAGGCGGCGTATGGTGAATGACTTTGGATGGATGTCATCTAATGGTTGTGGATGTTGAAATTTCGGACATTGAATTAAACCGGTGTGTTGGTTAGAGGGAAATGGATGGATGATAGTATGGATTGCTGATATTGGTTAGTTTAATTGACGATTCACTAATAAAAAATGTTCAGCTTTGCTCCAAGCTCTTAAGAGTCAATAATAGTTTTTCTGTAATAATGAGTTTTTAGAAATTCAAAATAGATGTATATGAAAATTACTTATTCATCTCCATATGTCCATGATGTTTATTCAACAAATTTTCCCTATTTACACCATTGATTTAGGAATATAAACTCTTCCACATTTCTATATCCAAATGTCCACTTATTTTATTTCACAAATCTGAAAACCGTATACTAAATGTATCACTTGAACGATACATCCATGTTTGATTGTCCATAATTTTGTTAATATAATCCATCAATACTAGTAATAGCGTGATGAGAGAGAATGGACAACATAGATGGATGCGTGCGAGTGGACGACAGAGATGAATGCGTGTAAGTGAACGACAAAGACGGATGCAAGGCTATGGATGCAAGCGCATGGATGGCAAAGATGGATGGAAAAATATGGATGCAAGCGCAAGGATGGCAATAATGGATGCAAGCGTATGGATGACTTAAAATGGATACGAGCTATACATGCAATGGAATGGTATAAATGGATGTGGAAATTCTGACCACCATAGACACATGCAAACTCTCGAAGGTTGATATATTTGGATTTAGGGTTTGGTTGTGGATGTGATATCGTGGATGAGGTACTGTGCATATGAGGCCGTGGATGCGATATCATGGACATAAGGCTGTGGATGCGAGACCGTATACATGAGGCTGTGGATGCGATACCATGAAAGTGATACCATGGTCAAATAAGTATTTTATATTTGGATGAGTATACTGTGGACAAAGTATTAAGATAAGTATACCGTAAACATCTATTGTAAGATAAGAGAATTGGCATTGGCAAAGCCGTTTTAATCATCACAAATCCTTTATGAAATTACATTCTCAATAGGAGACAAATGTAAGATCATATGATATATACAAGAGGACAAAAGAAACATTGTACATCCGTTGCTGGACTTGTGGATGGTAGTCGGTAGACAACTGTTTCTCGACAGATGTTCAATCTCTCAATCCATCCACACATTATTGCCTATGAATATATGTCCATTGATGGCTGTCTATTGCAGCTTGAACACATAGATCTATACGTAGTCTTCGTCCACGCCATAAAGAACTCGACCAAATTTATCAATTCCACTCTTTCCTAATTACCAAAAACAAAGATAATCGAATCAATAAGCAACAAAAATACATTTTTCTTTGAAATTATGAGTAACACTAACATAAATTTCATATCTATTGACTTCTCTTCCGACATATCCATTGACTAATCTCATACCTCTATTACTACGAAATCTAGCTCTGGTTACCAATTATATTTATGAAAACAGCCATAAACATTTTATGAGATCTGATATAGTTCCAATTTGTGGATGATGGTAATATGTATGATTGCAGGCTCAATAAATGGATGAGTTAGATAAAAATTGAAAAATACATAAAAACAGTAATTCCAAGTCAGCAATGAATGATTACATGTGGATGGTAATTGTATGCACGTATGAGAAAACAAATGGATTTTCAAACAAAGATGGCAAAGCTAATAATGCGTATATTTTGGGATATATACGAGAAGATCAAAGCAAAAATATATGGAAGGTAAAGAAAGTGTTGATCATCATATAGTTAATATCCAAATGGGCAGCCTTGTATGGATAGACTGCAATGGACACTCTAATACAAAACTAAATCAATATATATGGAAACACTTGTATATATATATGACTCTCCATTAAACAAGTATAGGTACGTTAATACAAAACCAGTAAAAATACCATATAGATAAACCATTGTGGACAAAGACATATATATATATATATATATATATATATATATATATATAAGAAAACATGAAACTAAAGCAAAGATATATAGACACAGTTTTACATAGATATGGACCTATCCACATGGATACATATGTGTGGACACACTAATGTTGGATGACTGCTATGGATAACTACAACGGATGACTACAATGGATGCGTACAATGGATGACTAAACTGGATGAGTGCAATTAGTCTATGAAAATCATCTTTATATAATACCATCCACGATGGATGAGACAATCAATCAATTACTACAATGAATATTTGGATACTTGCTTATGCAATGTGTGTATGGTATACTGCCATTCACAATAGAAGATACAATCAATAGATTACTACAATGGATGACTAAAAGACTGTGGACTCTGTCCACAACACCACATTCAAAAAACAATGATGGATGAGACAATTGATGGACTTAATCCTACAATAGCATCCATGAAAATGTATTCATACCTTCTTTGTCCATTCATTCGGTGTTTGTCCATAAACTATCCTGGAAGAAACTGGCTCCTTCTTCACTTCCCCCATCTTAATTACACGAAGAAGAAACCAATTGAAACTAAGAAATAAATGATTCAGCGGAAATTTAGATTTGAAATTCATTGATCAATACTCCAAAACCTAAAATTATTTTCTGAGGAAGAAGATAACGATGGTTTATAAAAAAAAAGAGAATTTGAAAGGAAGTTTTCAACTTATTTGATTGGTCTATTACAGAATTAACAATAACTTCTCTGAAAAGATATAGATCGTGCGAAGAGAGAAAGAGATCATATCTGAGTTGATTTCTTCTTCTTTTTCAATTTGGTTTTCCGGGTACGAAGTTGATGGTGGTTCTAGTACCTTTGAGTAGAAGTGAGAGACATTGGACAATTTGTGATTATACAATTGATAGAGAGGAGTTGAAATTGCTCAGAAGTTTTGAGTCACAAAAGAGAAAATAGCAGAATCGGGTGGTGGAGATTCGAAAGAGATGATTGTTCGGCGAATAAGGTAGTCCAATTTGTTTTAGAAAACGTAAAACTGGTTTATAATTAGATAAGAAAGAAAATAGAAAATGATAAAATTGACATTTTACTTGATGAAAGTGCCTCAATATTGTAAAATGTTTTATTTTGTTATTAAAATTTGACAAAGTGCCTTCTTATGTAATATTCTCTATTTTGTATTTGTTTGTTCCAAATGTTTTTCTACATTTTTTTTGTTTTTTATTCTAAATAATATTTTCAATTTTTATTTAATATTTTTTAATTTCTATGATTCATAAAAAGTAGTTGTTTTCTTTAGTTTTAAATTTATTTTATATGAAGGCCAAAAAAATACATACATAAAATATTTAGAAGCTCATAAAAAAGCAAGATCACAATATGTAGAAGTCCATAAAGAAAAGAAATAATTGCTGAGCTAGATAGCTTTATTGGAGAAAAACTTTTTAGAACTCATTCTCAAGCACAATAGTCCTAAGTATTTTATTTTTCCTTTTGTATAGATCAAGATTATTTTTATGGTACATGATTTTAAACATTAGTCTTCTTTTTTTACAATAAAACTTTAGTCTTTTATTTATAAAAAATCTTTATTCATTTTACAACGTAAAATAGATAAGAATGATTTTATTTTAGTTTTTTGTATTCATTTTTCTGAATTTTTTTTTTAAGTTCAATAACTATTCTATGCAAGTTCTTTCATATTTGTTCGATGTTAATCTCTGTTTCTACATCCTTTTTGTTTCTTATTTGAATAAGCATACTATTTTTTATAGAAACTATACAGTTTTTGGATTTTCTAAAATTAGTAAATTTTTTTAAGTGAATATTTTAAAAAGCCCAAAAATTTGCATAAAAATAAACTCATATAAATTCATATTATGTGAAAATTCAAAATATTTAAAACCCCAAAAAATAAAAATAAAATTGTTGAGGTGGACAGCTCAAGAGTTTTTTTTCTAATTTCTTATAGGGCAATTTCCATAATTACACTGAAAACAAGTTTTCATGACAAATATAACATGGAAGCTAAACTTTTTCTAATCCTAACAATTTTCATTTGAGTTTTTTGATTTCGCCCTTTAGGAAGGTCTTCCTAGATGTTTTTTTTTCTGTTAATGTTTCGTGATTTTTTAGGAAAGTCTTCCAAATAGTATACTTTAACATCATTTCATATGATTTCAGAAAGCTTTCTATTTTTTTTTTAAATTTTCTGAATTGTAGAAGGGCTTCCTGAATTATGAAAGGGTTTTCTGAATTGTGGAAAGGCTTCCTAGAAGGGCTTTGTGAATTTGAGTTGTATAAATTAACAAAAAAAAAGAAATTTACATGTAATGACTTTCTTAATTTATACATTTTAGGAAAGTCTTCCTAAAACTTTAGAATATCTTCCTAAATTTACTATCATCTCATTCCTCACCTCTGCGACACCCAAACTCTAATTTCCGCTGATTTCCTTTTTTTTCCACCATTGTTATTGTTTTAGCTCGGATTTCTTGAGCTTTTCACCCAATTATATCAGATCTATCTTCCACTATATGATTTTGAGCTTTAAATCCCGAAATCATTTTCCCATCAAGAAAACTCCAAAAATCTAAAAAATTCACTATCACAAATTACAAAGAAGAACGGCCTTAAACAAAACAAATGATTCGAATTTCATATCAGTCTTGTCTATTAATACCTTTGTTTGTACACTATTTTTCTTCTCCTTTTATTAACTAATGTTTTGTCTAACTAAGGTTAATATAGTCAAGTCTAGTGAAAAATGTTATGGAATGAACTTTTTAGAGTATTAGTGCATATTAGGAAAAAAAACTTAGATTAGGTGCATCTAAGAGAATTTCTCTTATATATATGATTCGAATGTATAGGGCAATGAAAAAAAAACAAAACAATCTAAAGAGAGTTTATGCATCAAACCGTAACAACTAAACCTTTCACCACATCATAATTCCAATCATCCAACACAACGTTACACCATTGCCCTTTACCCCAAACATCACCTCCTTGGCGTCTTTCCAAAGCAATCTCTGCACACCAAATATCCATTGTTTCCTTCCAGTAGACGCCATTACATTTAGTAAAGAAGAGAGCCAGTTTTCCACCGTAACTGTTCGACCAACATGAACCGGTACCTGCCTCTAGCAACAATTCTTCCAAACCTTTCACCACTGCCCAACGCCTCTGCTTTGGATCATACGCTTTTAATAACTTGGTCCCCTAAATATCGTATTAGTACAATATGTCGTCAACGACACACGCACCTTCCCATCTTTCAGAATTCAGCATCTCGTCCAATTCCCATTTATTTTTCTTTGGTGCATAAAAAAAGCTTTTCTCACAATCTTGCATGTAATTCTTATCCTTCATCACCACATCACCATGCCGAAGACTGCCTAGCTCCATGCCTAGCTTTGTCATCTCAGGCTCCCATTTTTGAGTTACTGTATCACACACCATGATTCTACTCCCACTCACCTTGTCATCACAGAAGGATTCTCCAATTATGTAAATTTTTCCATCGATACTATCAGCGAGCGTTGGAGTCACAGGATTAACATTGATTTTGATGGGTTGTAATCTGTGAGATCTACAGTTGATGAATAAATCGGTAAATCCACCCGCTAGATATATCTTGGAACCTACCGCGACGTAACTCCCATGTATAGTACTAGGAAGCGACCAGATAACGACCAAGCGATTCTTGCTGTCGGCTTTACGGCAGAGAATATACAAACGTTTAGAGAGGAAGAAATAGAGACATTATTTGGTGCAGCCTAACAAGGATCGTCTCCAGTATAGCTCAGGGGATGCAACGAGTGACCGGAGACTCTTGCAAACAAGGGAGATAGTTGGATAATAGGATCTCGGCACATCGTGCTATAATATCAACGATGATCTCTTTTGGTAGTGACGAAATCAGAGACGGACGTGGAACCGGAGATTTCTCCTCCTTCACTGCCCTAAATTTGGAAGACATCTAGATAATAGAGTTCAAGAACCACCAAACTAGAGAGGAAAGCACAAATCGTTAATTTTTGAGTTTAGGGCTCTGGTTGAATCTCGAATCATAACTAATTAATTGGATGATTAAGTTTCAGGAAATCACGAAGCTGCGCTTAGCTTTGGTTTGTGATCTCTTTCGACGACTAACAAATTACTGTAGATTTTTCAAACCCTCGGGGTCTCTTTATAAAGAAATGGAAAATAATGTATGAATAGTATAAATTATTAATGGAATAGATTAAGTAATTGTATTGATTGGTGTTTGTGGATAAATTAATATATAAAAATATATTTTTTTCCTTTTGTCAACCAACTAATAAATATACTTTTTATAATATAGAGTAAAAGTTCTATAAATTAATATTTGATAAATTAATATATTCAATAAATTAATAATTTTATTCGGTTTTGAGTTGAACCAGTTTAAAATTTAATACAAATCAATAAATTAATAAAAAATTTTTTTTTTTGAAAACCTATATTAAGATTAAGAGAATACGAAATCAAAACGGATTAAGAAAAAATTTCAGGTAAGTTACCATGGGACTACGATCATATAGTGAGATCTGAAAAGGAAGAATGGAGAAATGAATCAACCTGGGAAGAGGAAGCACGAGCAGAGAATCAGAAACCAGAGATAGAGAGAAGATTTACACGAGTAGAGAATCTGAAACCGATAGGATCGAAGAGAAAGGAGAAGAAGAAGATGAAGAGAGGATTGGGGTTGAAAAAATAACGAATCGGGTAAACCCACATAGCTTTAGGAACCGATCCTTTAGATTCTTCTAATAGAACTGATTCTACAAAAACAGCTCGCTACATCATTTCTTTTTTTTGTTCTTTTTTTTCAGTTAAAAACCTTTTATAAACTCTTCTTTACAGTTGCTCTTATAATTTGTTTTTCTTTTCCAATGGTATAACCTCTGATAAGGTTCTTAATAAAAAACAATTACGAAAATTATTTTACTTTAAGAATTTCTTTTTAAAGTTGAAGTTACAAATAAAATTAAAAAAAAATTTAGATTTTTTAAAGTTAAAATTAAGAAAAAATAAATTAAAAATAAAAAAATCCGGCGAATTAGACAGTGACATGTGACCCTAAAACCCCACTAAGAACCAGCTATTAAAGTTTTTAATTAAGAACCAGTTTTTAATAATAAAATTATTTTCTATTTAATTTTAATCTTTTTTTACATTAAGAACCCCATTGATCATGCTCTTAGAAATTTGACAAAATGAATAGAGAGTAAAAGGAATTGACAAAAGAATACCAAACAGGAAAACATTACATCACTTATTTACATTCATTGTCACATTGTGCGCATGGGATTCACCATCTAACATAACCAAAAAATGCTAACATTGTTAACACGAAAGTTACCATGATCACAATGTTAGTATGATAATTTTTTGATATGATAACACTGTTAACATGATAATTTTGCATATCTTATACAGTTAACAAAGTTAACGCGATATTTATACAATATGCTAATCGAGTATCATATTAGTTAGCATAGTTAACATAATTAGCATAATATCATATTATTTAGCATGGTAATCGAGTTATTATCCATCTAGATCACATCAAATAAGTTTAGGGGCAAAATAATCATAATTTACATATATAATATATATCAATCTAATTTTTGATTATTGGCTCCACTTTTCTAATTGTCAGATTATTTTGGGCCATTTACTTAATTTCTAGTAATTGCACTAGATAGACTCAAATAACCTGACAATTAACTAACATGTTTATCTTCTCTCTCTTTGTTACTATGTATTTCCAAAAGACGATATAGTCCTTATTATACTGTTCATTTTCTCTTTCTCTTTTGCTTCTTCATCTTTTCTTTCCTCATTCCTTTTTTCTTCTTCACGGATTCTT